AACACTTGCCGATAAAAAATTTTGTTATTTATAAATTTTGTCAATTTAGATTTGTCGTAAAAACTCGGAATTTTTTGGGTCTGCCAGCTTTAATAAACCCAACAGGCCTTTATATCACCGTGGTTCCGCGAGCCAGCTTACGATTCACTTCGTTTTTAGTGTCAATTTCCAATTGTAGGTGTCACAAAATTGCTGTTTAGTCTTTTGTAATAAAAATAAGCTAGCCTCCCTACAACCACAATCGAATATGTTTCACACATGAAAAGGCTCCTTTACTAAATTTGGAAACTGCTGCTTTCTACCTTTCATTCACTTCGGCTAGAAAAGCCACTCTGAATTTCCTGTACCACAAACTAAAACTCCGAAAAACTCTGCATGCATTTTGCTCAGAAATGAAATCCAACACGCAGAACCCCAAATATGTTACAAATAAACACTGAACATACTCCTTTTACGACAATGCGCTCAGTTTATCAGTCGAAGTTCACATATGTAAAGAATGTTACACACAGAAGATGACAAAGCATTTAATTGCAGATACACGAGTGATCACTATTATATTCAGATAAGGAAGAGAAGAGGATGGTTTGGCCCTAATCATGACGTCCTATTTCAGGCATGACCTGCTGCATACCACATTGTGGTTCAAGCAGACGGAAGCCAGGTCAAGAAAGGAACTTTGCACTCCACGAAATACCATCAGACCCGGATGAACGAGCGAGCTGGCTACAAGCAATCAAGAGAGTTGACTGGCTGCCATCAACCTACTCCATGGTTTGCAGTCGGCACTTTGTGCCATCCGACTATGTTGAGGGCAAACGCCGAAAGCTGAAGAAAGGCGCTATCCCAAGCATCTTTTGGAGCATGCCGCCTTCAAATATCACTAAGATGAAGGACGCTATCAGAAGGAAGTGCAGCACTCCATATTCATCAGAAGTTCCCAAGAAGAGGCAATGCCTGGACACAGGCTGTTTGCAAGTGACTGATGCGACATCAAGCTCTACACTGGACACTCCACCGACCTCCTTTCTGTGCAATGAAGGTGCTGAACGGATCCAAATCATCTGGACATCTCCAGCGAGCACCTTGGAGCCTCAAAACAGGCAGGCATCAGAAGTGCCAGACAGCAGGCCATGCCAACAGCCAGTGCTGTTCACCCATCAAGGAACACAGGCAAACGTTCGAAAAATGTCAGCAGAACTAACCGTAGAGAAACGTAGATGGACCCGACGAGTCACCACCCTGCGAAACCAAGTGGAGAGACTCAAGAACACGGTTGACAGATACAAAAAAGACTTGGAAAAGTTGCGAAACCTGAGGAAAGAAGATGATGTCACAAATTTTCTTAACATCCGTGAACAAGCAAAGGAATAGAACATATCGGCTATGTTTCTAGTCGACCAAGTAAAGAACTACCACAAGAAAAGCCCAAGGTGGACAGAACATACCATCCGTCACTGCATTTTGCTGAGACACATTTCTACGAAGGCCTATGAACACATAAGGTCTGAAGAGCTTTTTAAACTTCCCAGCAGGAACACTCTGCAAAGCTACATTGGAGCTGCCTCAGGTCAAACTGGCTTCAGCGACTTGGCGAAGGCTCGACTTCAAACAGAACTACACAACCTGGCAAACACACAATCAAGGACATGCTCTCTCATTATTGATGAAATGCAGATCAAACAGAGCTTGCAGTACAACAAGCAGCAGGATGTCTTTGTGGGCCAAGTGGACCTGGGACCATTGACTGAAAAGACCAAGCAGCCCATCCTGGCAAATTCGCTGCTGTGCTTTCTCATGAATGGGCTCAGCATTCCATACCGGATCCCTGTTGCCTACTTTTTTACCAAAGGGTTAACAGGGACCGAACTGGCCAAGCTTCTGCTTCATGTCTTGGGCAAGGTGGAAGATTTGGCTTCAAAGTACTCCGGATTGTAACTGACAATCACCGAGTGAATGTCAATGCAATGAAGCAGCTTTGTGGGGGACTCCTTACACATCATATCCTGCACCCAAATGACCCGGAGAGGATTCTGTTCCTTAGCTTTGACTATGTTCACATCTTGAAGAATATACGGTCCCAATTCCTGGAACGCAACTTTGGAAAGGACAATGAGATCAAGTCCTTCTACCTCAAGAAGTTGTACGAGCTCCAGAGAGAGGCGGCTGTCAAGCCAGTCAGGTTCCTGAGTCGCAAACATCTTTTCCCTAGCAACATAGAGAAAATGAATGCCAAGAGAGCAGTCCAGCTCTTCTCCCCTCAAGTGACAGCTGTGCTCAAGCACCTCCAGGAACAAGCTGGCCATACGAGTGACCTACTGTATGCGGACGCAGGACCAACCATCTTCTTCATGGACTCTGTGTACCGCTGGTTCATTTTGCATGATACCAGTAACTGCACACAACACATACACCAACGCTACCCAGATGTGCGCCAGTATGATCACCCAGACGACCCTCGTCTGGAATGGCTCGAGTTTTCATTCCCAGCCTATCTCGAGCAGATCAAGAGCACGGCAAGCCCATCACAGTTCCTGACGACAGAAACCTACGAAGCCCTTCTCTTGACAACATACTCGACAGTTGCATGTGTACAACACCTTCTCACCAAGGAAGAGTTTGGATTTGTACTGACCAGGAAGTTCAGCAGCGACGCCATTGAGTCCCTGTTTGGCTCATTGAGACGATCTCAAGGGTGCAATGACCAGCTTAGCGTTCGGGCTGCAATCTCAGGAATTGAAAAGATTCTGAAGACTGGTCTCATCACAGCTTCCCAGCAGAGCAATGTGTCACATGCTGCCTCGACCTCATCGGTTATGACTTCAGCAATTCGGTGCATACCACCAGCAGTGTCAGCTGCCACGCCATTCCAACTTCCACAGAGTGCAGCGGAAATCTTAGAAAAGCTGTCAGATCCCAATGTACAATACCTGCCAAGCCTCGAGCTGTCGGCGACAGCGCACGTTGGGTAGCTTGTACAACACGGGCAACATTGCCCGTGTTGTACAAGAACACTTTTCATGCTTCTTCTGCATACCTCTTCTTACAAAGCCGAAGACAAACAGTGCCTTGCAAGGGATCACAAACCACCTGGACCGGGGAGGCCTTTTGTATCCCTCAGATGAACTTGCCCACCTTCTCAATGTCCTCAGGATGTTTGCAGCGGATGTGTTGTCGTACAACCTCAGGAATTGGCAGCCCCTCGAAACTCTTGTGAAGTTTGCACTGCCAGCAGTGTATGACTCTCCTTTGCTGCTCTGCCCAACGAACAACAAGGCTCATCGCCGTGAACTGATCCATCTTGTCTGCACAAAGTTCTCCAGACCGCTCCTTGTTAACTATGCCTTCTGTCACACAGACAGGAACGATAGATTTAAGATGTTTGCACGAAAGCCTCTATCTCGGAAGTTTCAGAAGGTGAGGTAGAGTGCACGCAAAGGTAGATTAGAGCAGTGTTTTTTTTTTCTTTTTCTACCTTTAGTCAAGCGGAACTCTGTTCATATGTATTTTATTTGGCCTTGGCATTTAGTGATTTTGTGTCCGAGTTGGTCTTTCTGCGCAAATTATATGATATATGTATAAAGATTATATTTGTTTCCAATGAGTTTACTGGGTGCCTTTACTCCCGCTAATAAATCCAGCACCTGCTACAAGTCGGTTTTCCCTTAAATTTGGTCGGATTTCCAGCACTCGTCACTGCAACGTGACTCGATCACGTTCCACCGGTAACATAGCACAACACTGCAGCAATGTTTTGTGTTGCTAGGGTTTGTTTTAATGCGTTGAAACGCATCAATTATAAAAAAGGGAGACAAAATGTTGTTGCAAAACTTCTTTCAGCAGAACTGCTGTCCCTTATTTAGACACAGTTCGATTCTTGCTTATCACTGCTCACGACGTAACATTTTTTTTTTTTCATTTAGATAATTCAACATGCTGAAAATTTAGACACGATGCAATATTATCATATGGAAAGCCTTTGACCAGCGCGACTGCGTAATATAGAAAGCCGAACTCTCGACCGACGTTTCACTGCCTTGCCTGACCTTAATTTTGCTCTTTTCTGACGTTCGAGCTTGCAAACCCTGCTGGCGGAAATTATTATTACCGCAGCGCTTTTCCTACTTACGCACAGCTCAGGTTAAGATTGCGTTGTAACCCAGATACTGCTCCTCATCCGGGGTTCGAGTCCAATCACAGCGGCTCATGGGGTTCTCACCGAGTTGCCGCCGTGCACGCCGATATTTGGCCATTTGGCCGCCGAGCACGTCCGGCGAATCTTCTGCTCCCTTCGGGAAGGGCCATGGGCTTCACCGCACAACACAACGTGTACGCCTAGCTGGCGCCGCCACGCGGGAACCACACGCACTTTTTGCCGGCCGCCTTTGCATTGCCGGAGCCACGAGCTGACGGGCATTGTACACTCTGGCCTGAGCTAGAGCACTATATAGCTATATAGTGCTCTAGCCTGAGCCAACGCCTGAGCTGTGGAAAGCGCATGCGCATATGGTCAAATCAAGGAGGTTAGAAGTACTAGGAGGGGGCACGTTGCAATATTGGTGAAGCCTATAAAAAACTTTTAACTTTTTACTTTTAACGTTTAAACTTTTTTTTATAGTCATAAAAAGTTTAAACGATTTTGTGCCCAGCGTGACCGCAGATCTCTCTGGCGATTGGTGCGCGTGACATGTCACGTGTGAGATGGATGGTTGATTGTAGAAGGACTCCTCGCAGGCTTGCGCGCGCTCCGTCCGGTAGGTTTTATCACATCGAAGGCTAGACTGTGGTGTCTTCTAGTACCCCATAGCAAGACGAAGGCTAGCTACGGTCACGTGATGTGGTCACGTTGGCATGGTAAGTGAGTAGAGTAAGGAGGAAAATGAGAAAGAGGCGAGGCGTCAAGGGAGCATGGCTTGTGGAGGCTACGCGGCCGACGTCATGCCCTCTCCTACCCTTCTATTCTCCATGGGTCAAATGATGACAAAGCAGTGGGTCGAACTTCAGTCGAACTTTGTGAGGTCGAGAGAAGTTCGCGAAAGTATCTTCACAGTGTCGAAACTGCTCGAATCTTGGCGCGACCACAGTGGGCGCGACATTGGCGACATCCTCAACACCCTTATGAAACATGCCGAAGTTTAGTGTATCAACTTGGCCAAATCTTGCGATCGTGTCATGACTTGCAGTGCAGTTGCAGCGGTTGTAGTTTAGATTGGTTTCAGTAATTCTTGCCAGCACTGAAGATGAATAAGCGTGAGTCGAATGGTGGTGCCGCACATGGTTCTCATTTCGTTCGTGGCTCGGTCAGATTGGCGCGAAATTTCTTTGTTACGATTTGTTGTGTTTTATTTTCTTGTCAAATGCTGTGACCGATCGTCCTACTCGTTGTCAATGTGTCTCTTGTCTCTGTGTTCGGAAACTAAGAATTGTTCTGTTGATAAAGTATTAGAAGCGTTTTCTTGCTGCGCTCGAAGCATTCATCTTCAAGCCATCCCAAATTTTGCACGGCAGCGTTAAATTTGTCGTGGCTTCACATAATTTAAGTTTATACAGCCCATGTGTGGAGGCCAGGAAGGCTGCAATTTGTTGTAGCAGTGTTTCGAAGCTGTAGTACTGCATTCAGCGCCACAAGCGGAAGAGTCTGTTAATGGGGCGGCCAGTTTGCCCGTTGAGCCGTTGCGAGCGGCGGCGACCCCGATTTTAGCAGTCCCCGTGTGCACCTGCGTGCCATGTCCCTAGTTCTTTTATGCGGTTTTTTAAGACCATCGGGAGCCTTGATAGGTCCAAGTGGTGAGAGTCGTCATTTGGACACCAGTTTGAGTTTTCTTCACTACTTGTGGCCCCCCGATCGGTCTGTGCTTTCCTCGTCTCCCATGAAGTGACACAACACACGAGAAGGCAGCGAATAGGTTTATTGTACATCCCGATTGCCCGGCTTCGAGAGCCGGCAGTTCGAACCCGCCGACCCTAGTTGTCGTTCAGAGCTCACAGTCTGAGCCCGTGTCCAGGCCTGCGGATCGCCCTTCCCACGCCAGTGCTGCGTAGGCTAGCTGTTCCGGTCTATCACAGCCAGAGTCTCGCTGCGGAACCACTCCGGGATCGTCATGGAGGCCAGTATGGTCAGGGTTCGCCGCTTCCGCCGGTCCTGATCCGAACTTCGCTGGTGGAATGCTCCCGGGAATCGCCATGGGCCACACCAGCCAGAACGGCTCTATCGTTCCTGCCCGGCCCCAGCCTCGGGCAGCACGCTCTTCCTCTTTCCTTGCCGGCTAGCCCCCGCTCGCGCCTCGCTCGGCCGTCCTCTCCTCCCGACGCCCACACACACTAGAATAAAATTTGGGTAATTAGAACCAAACTCTGCATGCTACAGAACCGTACGCTCATTACAAAGCCTGGTGTAAAATGGCGACAGGCAACGAAGTGTATGTGTAAAAAGGATATTTACGCTTCGCACGAGATTTTTCTAAAGAAAAACTTTAGCATTCTGCTTTCTGCACGCCGTCACTTTTGTTACCAGACTCAGCATTAAATTTGGTTGCTGAAACAAACAAAACTTTGTACTGCGAAAATCCACTTTTTAAAAACTCGCAGGTTTAGAAGGTTTTGGTTGCAACCACGCGTGCCGAACGGCATTAGGTGTGCCGGAACGGGTCGACGGGCCCTTCGCTTGAAGACCTGATCGCCCGATTCTCGACGTCGCAGCGAAGCAACAATCGGCTCGATTGTTCCTATCGTATTTCCCTAATGTGGCTGTCAAAGCGACTCGTAATACAACTTGTATAAATATGCTATTTTGCCGAGTGGTCTGCAAAACGAGTTCGTCCGACCACTTTCCAAGCCTGCACATATATTTTCGTTCACCTCCCCACCCCCAACAGTTTCTGTAAAATTCACTTACTTGCGTCGCACTGCAGTAATCCACTTCTGTCGCCGTGTCGCTTCCCAAGATCTCGAAGGGAAGCTGGGGAAGCGGTGAAGTTCGACGCTTGAGTCACCTTTGCGACTGTGGCCGTCTTTCATGCAGCAGTAGCAACGTTTATTTTTTGGGGGAACTCTAGGACTAGGCGACATGTCGCAGGAACCCGGTGAGGTTATAGAAACGTGAAGTTGGAACTCACTTTTACAATAAACGGTTCCAAAAAAAACCTCACGCCAATCCGAAATGCAACGTTCACACGTGGTTTCTAGATGCGCCTGCCCGCAGCGCCGTGTAGTCCTGGCCTACCCAGTTTCATTATTTTGCAGCCGCTAGATGGCGCAACATGTAGCGCCAAACTGCATTGCAGGTTGCCTATAGGCGTAACGACTGTTTTACATCGAGCTTACTCTCCCTAGTTAAATAAGTAAACAAACAAACATAATATTAGTGATTCTATAAAATTAAATTTGTATGCTGCTTCAGGGCTGCTTCTGATACAAAGGTTCTCCAAAACGAGATTTTTGTTTCTGCTTTAAAACTCTCACTGGCAGTTTGGTGTTACTTCAAGCAAACAATAAAACAAGTTTGAGGACCTGGGACCATCCCAGATATGCAGTTGCCTTCGGTGTGCACCAATCTTTCGCAACTGAGCCTCCCCTTGTCAAGTAGGCATAGAGCGCTACCGGCGTCGGCCGGCCGTTCTTCGAGACTATCACTTGCACTACTACATCTTTTCGAACCTTAGCCCTCGACCCGCATGACCACGCTGCTCTCGCACTGTTTTGGAGTCCGTTGCAGCTAGTGCTCCAATGTGGTGGTTGTGGCAAGTGGTGTTACCGGAAATGTGAACTTGTCTTACTCTCGGTGTATCGCCGACTGGCATCGTCGAACGAAGAATGGCTCCGTGGAGTGTGTCGATTCCCGCCTCTAAACGCTGAGTTCTTCGAGTGTGCTCCCTCCGCTCCATTGCAACCTGCCACAGTCCCCGCTCCTCAGCCCATCCGCCTCCAGGCCGGTCACCCCAGTAAACAACCGTTGGCCCTGCAACCATTGGAATATCTGGTATTCCAACATATGTTTCTCTGCAAGAAGACCAAGGAGATTGCTACCCTTCTCGCATCATCTCTGCACAGTACCCTGTTTGCTTTTTCTGAAACATAGCTTGATGCCTCAGTTCGTGATGGTGAACTGTGACGGGTATGTGGTATTCTGCCAAGATTGTTGCAGTGGCGCTTGTGGAGGTGGCGTGATGGTCGTCGTCCCGTCAACTGTTCGCTGCTGTCGACGCATCGATCTGGAACACACCGACCTTGAGGGAGTGTTTGTTGCATTGGGTTATGGTTCCTGCACCTTCCTTCTGTGTGTGTGTAGTGCCTCCCTCCGCTTCGCACAGACCCATATGACCTTGGCTTTTCTCTTGAACTCCTTCACCCTCTCGAAGTCTCTTTTGGAAACATCTTTCTCATAGGGGACTTTAATGCACATATTCATTGGAGTGACTGCACCCCTCCTGTTGCAGCTGACTCTTTGTCGTCCCCTTCTCGACATAGTAGATCCGATGGGCTCTGCGCAGGTGTGCTCAGCCCTGTACAGGACTCCATCCGGAACTCCTTCCTTTCTAGACCTCTGTTTTGTCTCAAACCCAGCCCTCATCGCGTATTGGTTAACAGGCCCGTATGGTCCATGCTTATGGCCGCAGAGACACCACTCGCCTGCAAAATCTCATTTACTATGCTCTCTGGTGTCTTGTGCTTGACGGCTTTTTGCCTGACAGGATGTACGAGCTCTACCTTGATTCCGTGTCGGCTCTCTCTACAGAATGTGCCCCTACACTCAAGGTGCGACGCAAGCATACCTCACCTTGAATCAGCCCTGCCATCATTGCTCTGACACACCAGAAGCGCAGGCTCTTATGCCTGCCGAGCACTGACGTTGCAACTGCAGCAATTCGAGGCTAAGACACTACAGAAGTCCTTGAAGAAAGTGGTCCACCTGGCTCAAAGGTCCTATGTAGAGGAAATATCTGCCCGGGCAATGAAGGACCCTGAGCTCTTCTGTAGTTGCGTTAACTCTCAATGTCGACGCCCCTCTGCTGATCTCTGCTTCCTGTGTCCTCACCGTGTGACATAGCCTGTCTCTTCAACCGCTGCTTCTCACTCTGGTCAGCCTTTTCTCCTTCCAGTCCTGTTGTCACTTACTCAACTGTGCCCTACACCTCTACCACTTGTGCCACAACACTCAGCAGTATGGCCATCTCAAAGGATGACTTGTCCGATGCTCTCTCCCCACTTCGGGTACATCAGCGGGCCGGCCTCGACGGCCTTCAGCCTGATTTTCAAGATGGCATTCTCCTGTACTGCTCCGGATGTTTCAGTGTTTCCTTGACTCTGGGTCCGTCCCCACCGCCTGGAAGGTATCACACATGACCCCCATCCTAAATGCAGCTAGCCTACCTCTGATGACCTAGACTCCTATTGTCCTGTGACTTCAACCTCTGTTGCCTGTTCCACGTCGCCACGGATCATCATCGAGCAGCTCCTACTCCATCTTGAGTCCTTGGCCCTCTTAATCTCAGCCCAGCATGCCTTTTGGCAGAACTGATGTGAGGCTGCCCTTGCATCCCTAGTACACACAGAGAGTGCTTATCTCGACTCTTGTACACCGCAATACATAAGTTTGGGGCAATGCATAAGTTTCGCTCTGCGCTTGGGAAATGTAGATCTTGCACTGAAGTATGACGAGCAGGAAGCTTTTTGAACCTTCGAACATTCTGTGTGTCACTTAAATATGTGTAATTTCATTATTTTTATAACGCGAGCATGTTTCAATGCGGCTGTGAGAGAGCAGACAACATGATATCCAAGCCCGCCCGTGTGCTTCCGAGAAATTTGGGAAATGCACAGCGGCGCATGCGCGGTGACTGTTGCGCCCATCGTGTCTCCTGCAAGAGCAACATTCACTTCTCCCGCTTTGAGACCGTTGCTACACTCTGCACCTTAAGCAGAGCATACACAGTTACACTAATTTTTCTCAACCTGTAGCGCCCCCTATGCATTTCTAAATCAAAATTTTATGTCATGGCTTGACCATAATGAGGTGGAGTGTCAATTCTCCAATTACAATATGTCCCCAAAATTTAATTGAAACTTTTTATTCTGTTAATTAGCTTAGTGGCGCAAGCGCATTCGGCTCCAGGGGAAATATGTAGAGAATATCTACATTTCTATGGACCTCTAAAAAGCCGGTACCTGCAGCAAACAAGTGAAGTCTAAATCAATATGGCATGTCCCTCATATAAAGGGCTTAGGTGCACCAGGTCTTGATCTCACAGTAGAAACAACAGGTAACTAAAGGGAGCATTCGGAAGTTTTTTCTTTCATAAAGCTGTTACTATGCATAGCAAAATACACTTTAATGCATATCCACTCTTTGTTTACTCGACCACAGACAACATAGCTTTATGGTTGCTGAAGTATGTAGGAAAGAGAACACACTGCACACGGGTCAGCGTTTTTGCCTAAGACTAAATCGAGACAGCCACTGTTCAGCTGTTGCTGTAACTATCGCTGTAATAGCGAGATGTTTTGCTCCAGCCGAGGCAGGCGCCAACCTTAAGCTCTGCCGGGCATGCGGGTGTGCCCGTCATCTTTCGGCCGAGGGGTGAAGTACTCTGGTCGAACGGGGTCACGCAATTTTTTTTTTATGTCACGGAATTTTCTACCTAGCACAATGCCATCGCAAATGCGACTGGGAAGTTCCTATAATGGCTGTCGCTGTAAAATTTATTTCACAGCATGCATAGTCACTGCAGTTGAAACTCGCTTCTTGACCGCTCTTGAAACATAGTCGTTCAAACTTTCGGAACACGCACTCGTCAAGCTTCACCTTTTTGCGCCAGCTTGCTCGGAGAAGCAGCTGATGCGGAAGAGCATTTTAGTTAGCTCAATTTATATTCAAATAAATATGGCGATTGCTGTGTGAAATAGGCTTGTTTTTATGTTATATACAGAAGAAACGTTACACCAAAGCGTAATGTTTCTTCCGTGTATAACAAAAAAAATTTATTGCTTGACTTGGCTAATGAACAAGGGCTTCATGGACCCTAGAAATGCCTTTGCGGATCCCTATTCGAGAACTACTGCTGTAACTCCGCAATGTACAAGGCTAAAACCGCCGAAGCTGTCCCCTTTGAAACGTCACCCTCTCCCTTGTTGAAGATAAGGACATGCTTTAGCAATGATTGTCGGTTCAATATGCAGTTTGAGTAAGAGACCTTTACGTTTCCAGTTTTGCGTGTTATTACTTCTTTGCTTGTTAAAAGTTAATTGCACTTGCTCTTGGCGTCAGAATGCGGGATGTATTGGTTTGCATTATTTTGATTTGCCTTTTTCTTTTCATGCTTTCTGATGCAGGAAGGACATTTGAATGAGGTGTTTTCATAGTATCTGATATTGACGACTTGTTTGCCTTAGAATTTGTTTTCTTCTCATATTTGTCCGGATTGGATGTCTCGGTTGTGAGACATTGCCAGGAAGTAAAGCTGGCCATTGTCACTTTTTCTAGCAATTGTGCTGCATTGGATCTGATGTGTTCCTTTCTCTTTGATCCTCCTACCTCGCACCTCCCCTTGTATTTTATTTCAGCTGGACGAGTCTTAGGAAAAGTGAAATGGTTCAACGTCAAGAAGGGCTTCGGGAAAATTATCAGGTACTGTTCTTTACTTTGAGGGGGTGGGTGTAGGAGTAAAGCCGGACCCTCTAGTGCCTGTGGATGTCATTCCTTCAAAGTCTCTGAAGCTATGTCTTTATTCCCTCAGAAACGACACGAAAGAGGAGATCTCTGTCAATCAGGTGAGGATTTGGTTAGGGAACTTGTGACTATCAGTGTAGGAGAAGAGATTAGTTTAGTATAACCTGGTTAGGACAAACTTGTCTCAAAATAGATGTTTGTAAAAAAAAAAGTTTTTTGTTTTGTTTATTTAATTTTTATGTTACAATACATATTTTTTGATTTGCAGGCGAAACCAAAATTGTACTTCTGCGGGTATGATGATGATATTGTTTGTACCCAACTTGTGTGCTCTCTGAGGTCCAGCAAACTCGGAGCGCACACTAGTTGGATACAAACACTATCATCATGATCCCACAGAAATATAATGTCGGTTTTGCCCGCAAATTAAAAAATTCGTGTTGTAGCATAAAAATTGACCAAAAAAGTTTTTTTTTTGTTCTTTTTCAACAAACATTTATTTTAAAACTTGCTTGTCCAAACTAGGTAGAAAAAACAAAATTTTTTCCCTAAGTTTAGTGTTCCTTTAAATCACATTCATTTGCTTTATATGCTGCCAATGTTTTTTTTTCATAAAACAAACAAAAGTTTGGTTTTGGAAAGAGGTAAGAGCTTCCCAGAGAAATTGTGAACCGATTAATTTTGGTAATGTGCACTTGGTGAGCTTTGTCAGTGCTTCTGCACAGGTAAAGGTTTAACTGACAAGTCGGATTTACACCAAGTTTGAAACTAAGCATGACCTATTGTGCTGCTTGAAATGAATGTGTACATATGAGAGCCACAATGGAAGGTAATGATACTCTACGGTGCTAGTCTAAGTGCAACTTGTATCCTAAGAAATTGCTTAGGATTAAAGGCAGCTGCAGTGTTTATGCACTCCCACCTCGCCCTGTTTTTTGTAAATAAAATGAGCTACGCAATATTTTTTCTTGTCACATAATCGGTCATCTGTACAGTTATACTGCCTTGCCGCTTCAGCCCCATTCTCAGTGCATTCTCAGTCCATGGAAATTTCATTCATACTCATTGTCTTTGCACTTCGTTCACAGGCTGCAATAACAAAAAACAACCCCAAAAAGGCAGTTAACAGCCTCGGTGATGGAGAGACTGTAGAGTTTGATGTTGTTGTCAGTGGAGAGGTATGTATGCCTACTTTCACTTTTTATGCTTGACATTGTTTAGTATAAAGCTTGCTCAACTTGTAGCACTGCATCCAAGAGTTCCTTTCATTCACGTAAAAACCTAGGTCTTGTGTGGTCACTACAATATTGAAAAGGGAGAAACTACAGTTTTGTGTGTATTTTTGCTAGTATGCACCAGGACTCGAAATGTGTCACACCATTAGGTGCATAGTCTGCACCTTATGGTCGACACGACAGCCTTCTCATACACGGCACACCTTGACAAATGTCTGCTTTCTTAGCTCACAAAAAGCATATAATGTGCGTAAATCATCATTAACATTCTCTTTCATTCACAAAATCTGTCGCATCTCGTCATAATCTACAATCTTGAAAAACTAAATTCCTATATGGTCCGCACCTCTAGATAGTCCACACCGCATACAATATCAGCTTTCAAACATTCCGGAAAATATGGTAGCTACTTTCCCAAGGTTACCGCTGCTTGGGTACAAATTCCTAAAGCCCTGCCACTACAGGCCATTGTTTTGTTGTAAAGTGAACATGAGGACGACTTTGGTGCAACCTATTAAGCAAAGCAAATGCAAATGGTTTGACCTTTGAGAGAATGATACTTAGTGTAAAATATTGAGCAAGCACTCACACAAAAGTTAAAGGTAATCGCAAAAAAAAAAAAAAAAAAAAGGATGGCTGCTTGTTAGGTTTGAGAGCAACAATGCAAAAGGGACAAATGGTCAGGTAAGCTATTGTTTGATCCCACGAGAGGGTATAGGAGCAGTACAGGGGTATGGAAGAACCCTACGCCTTAATTTTAAAAGCAGCCATGCCACTCATCAAGCCTGCTTTGCACTGGCACTCCTGCATCAAGCTTTACCGCTTTACGCCGACGCACGCACGTAAAGCTTCATCGTTTTGTATCAGCTTCTCGGAGAAGCAGTTGACGCGAAGGAGTGAAACTAAAGTAAAAGCAGAGAGCAAAACTACTATGCATTCTTTAATTTATTTTGTCCAAATCACAAGATGGGATCACGAGGGTGTGTTGCGTCCCCCCTTTGTGTTTCAGGGCATTGAGGCGGTCAACGTGACTGGGCCTGGGGGCAAACCTGTCAAAGGGAGCCTCTTTGCACCAGACCGTAGGGGCCCTGCTGCCAATGGCCGCCAGAAGTCCCACAAACGGTGTCCCGTGCCTCGCCGTTTGGGTGTAAGTGCACCCCTCTTTTTTTTTTTCTTGCACATTGTTGGGCTTTGTTTGTCCCTTGTGCCATCTGTCAAGCACCCGACTGGCCTTTGGAGATGAGCCATTTTTTCGTTTATGAATGGACGGCCACGTGCGAGCGCCGGGTTGTGTGGGATGGTATCTCGATAATGCTTGGTTGGTGTGACCTATTTCGACATAGGTAGATGGTTAGATGGGAGGTTTAGGGCTCAAGGATGCAGCAAAATAAATTGCAGTAAGAACCAGGCGAGTTTGGGGGCCTGGTTCTTGTATCTGGCCCCTCAGGGCATGGTAGACAATTCTTGAAGGAAGCATGTGGTTTCTTGGAACCTGCTTACATGAGGCACCAGTCTTGCTTGCATGTCAGACACCAATTTTTCTACAAAATGAAATGGTCTTTTAGATGACATGAGCGATCGTGCAAGTTCCCTGGTGTGGTCCGGATAATTTGCGTGGTTGATACATACAATGACTGTCCAGGTTATATTTTTGATATTTTTGTCGCCATCTACGAGCGACGGCGGCAACCATACTAGTTGTGTGCTTGCCACCGTCGCTTATAGATGGCGGTAGCTGTCCAGAGGCATTTTTGTCGACAATTGTTTTGTACCGGACACGATCCTCGGGAATCTAGCGTTAACAGCTCCGCTGTTAAAATATGACCCAGACAGTCGTTGTAAGATCTGACATGGAAAACACCCTTTAGTGGTACTGAGGCCCATACCAGTTTATTTTAATGTTGATAAAAATTTATTGCAGTAGCATAGCCAGGAATTTCTTTTGGGGGGAGGGTGGGAAGGGCCTGGCCTGGGCTGGGCTGGGCTGAGCTGAGCTGAGCTGAGGTGAGGTGGCTGGGATGTCCATGAATTGGGGTGCAGAGGGGGGGGGAGTGGCTGTTAAAGTTTGATTTCGGGGGAAAGGGGGGGTGGGGAAGGGGCTGAAGGTCCATAAGCCTCCCTTCTGGATACGCTACTGGTCGCAATACAAAAATTTGGCATAGAATTGGTGAGTTTTTCACTTCTGAAAAACTTCAACAACCGCTCCGAGAACACGTAGAAGTAGTCCAATTCGAATTACAAGGGTAAGTGCCATATTTTCTGGGTCCGCAGACTATACATGTTTAAAAGTTGAAATTTTAGGCTGCGCGGGAGTGAGGGATATTTTGAATGAAAGAGTATGTTAGCAATGATTTATGTGTAATACAAGCTTCTTTGTAAGCTAAGGAAGCAGGCATTTTTAAAGGTGTGCTGTGTATGAGAAAATTTTTGTGTTGACTAAGCACAAGGTGCGAACTTTTGAAACAAAAACTTTTATTTCCGGCCCCAAATTTTCCCCAGTGCGAACTATAGCCCGGAAAATACGGTAATTAATGCAGAAATGAAACTGACATTGCCTTTCAATTTGGATAATCATTGGCATAGTAACCATTATGCTTAGTTCAATCGACTCCACAGTAAAAAGAAGTTTCCGTGGCACTTTTTTTTTTACGTCTCTGGCGGTGTGAATTGGCACCAAAGGGTTTCTCTTTCATGAGCATTCTAAGTCCGTCAACCAGACGAAGTAAAATAGGCAAACATGCAACCAGAAAGGAGGAAACATCACTGCAATTGAACCTGCGTTTGAAAAAGGAGGAAGCCCATCCTCCTTTCTGTGGGCATTAGCTCGACCTGTAGTTGGGCAAAGAGGAGGTGAGATTGCGAGAAGGAATGGAGCAGGAAACCGGGGGGTAATTTTCAGCCAGGGAACAATTCTTTATATCAAGCTTTAGAGGATGGTTAGATGTACAGTGAGACCCGTTTAGAACGAACCCACATACAGCGAATTATTGTCGATATCGACAAATATCGAAGTTGCGAACAAAATTGAGCGGAGAGAAGCGATTCAGAAAAGGAGAAAGCTAAAAAATACACTCTACACGCATGCACAGAAAAAAGAAAATTCATACCAAAACCGTTGCCCATGAAGAGAAAGCGATTCAGAAGGAGAGATAAGGTAAAACAACACTCTTCATGTATGCAAAAAAACAACAACAACAACAACAGTTTTTTAGCACGTTGTTACAAGGCGGATGTGAAGAGATGAGAAAAAAAGGGGAGCCCTCGCCTTACAACGAACCTATCGTGGAAGTTAGTTGGAAATGGTTTTTGATATATCGAATTACTTGTTATATCGAACTGATCGTAGCGTTTCCTGTGGTTCGTTATAAACGGGTTTGACTGTATGGATAAAGTTGAACCTTTCAAAATGGGCTAGCAAGTAACAATTGTTTTAAAGTTCAATAGCTAAACTTGCCTATTATGGGGATCAAATCGAGCCGGAGCCATTCTTGTGGGTACTAAAACTTAATAGCATTAAGAGGAACCGTTTGTCTATTTGGGGCATCCCTTACCAGTCCCCTTGAGAATTGGGGACCACTAAGTCTCGCTAACATCAGTGACTAATCTTGTCCATCTGGTTCTAGTTCATTGATGACTGTGTGCAGTTAAGTTCTGTTATGAAATGTGTTTGCCGTATGACCTGTTACTGTGAGTGGCATCCGGTCGCTGCATGGCTTCTTGACACTACGTTCTCGTGTTTGCCAGGTCCACGAACAGCCGCGGCAAACGGCCGAGGATGCTGAGGAGGAGGAAGAACTTGCACTAGCCGAGACCTATGCAGAGTGCACGCCTTCTAAGTGTAAGTCCTATTCCTCGCTTTGGGCATCTCTGCTGGACTTGCGGGATTTGCTTTCGGTGGCGAAGGATTTTTAAATTCAACGAAAAATATTGAGTGGTTCCGAGAAGAGCGACTGATTTGCAACAGTTTTTCCTCCCTCAAAACTTTCCATCTCTATTTGTCGTGTCTTTTTCCTTTTCCCTAGTTTGGGAACCTCATGTTTTTTTTGTAGAAAAATCTCGCCTATTGTTCCTTCCTCAAACTAAAACAAGGCTGTGAACTGGCCGCCAAGATACTGAAAAGTATACTAGTGTATTTATTAGCTGTGGTAATGAACCTCTAAAAGCTAAAAAAATATTTTTTTAAAAATTGAATGCAATGAGAGTGCACAAATAGAATCTTGACTCTGGTTGAATTGAGTGCGCATTGTCTAAAATCATAAGTAGTGGTCGACACGGAACCGGTACGAGTCCCCTACGGTTCTTTTGCTTTGTGTCGCTCCGGGATCTGAAATCGGGCATCTCTATCAGACACCCGGCCTCCAGATTGCCTTTTGCCGTGCATTGGCCGCGAAGCGTTGTCGAAGGTAGGGAGCTCATGCTGGAGGCGGATCAACTGAAACTCCTGCCCGCCGTTCCCATCCAGTCGGAGGTCATAGTGACTCCGTGGTCGTGTGTGTGTGTCCCGTGCAGTGAAGATCGGGGGCCGCCACCCGTACCCCGTGGTGGAGACAAGCTCGCTGTCGAGCGTGGCGCCCCCAGCTGTGTGGTACGACCTGTGCATCCCGAAGGAAGTGGTGGACCGGGGCCAGCTGTCAGCCCTGCAGCTCGAGGTCGTCATGTACGCCTCCCAGCAGCACCAGGTGGTGCTCACCAACGGCAGCCGGGCCGGATTCCTCATCGGTGGGGGACCCCTTCCGAACCTCCGACGGCACTGAGCCATTGCGATCGTAGCTATTATTAAGTGGGACGGCGTTTCCGAGCAAACCCTGCATGCTTTTGCATCCTTGGCTCGGTTTGTGACAGACGACGTGGGTGACACGCATCTGCTGTATAACCTACTGTAAAATCCTGTAAGAATAGAAACCCAGAATGAAGAGGTAAATGGTGGAAAATATGGGGCGGGCAATCTTTGGGGAATGTGACAGCAAAATTTTGTCCAAAAAGTCGCAATAAACAGAGGAGCACTCCCTACAAACCACGTCACGCAAGAACTGATTCCGCAGATCACGATCTTGGAAAATGTGCGCTCCATGGTGCAATAAATACGCAGGAATTCGCTGCATACTCCTGTGTTGCAGAAACAGATAGTGCAGAGGCAAATAAACATGCGGAGACCCGCTACGAGCTTGCTTGCTACACATACTGGTACCACAGATCGCGTGGTTGATGTGATTCTTGTTGGACGTCGCACCATGTCCAACAGGAATCGGAGTGGGCGATGTTTTAGAATTTTTATGTTAGGGATATTTAGCCAAAAAACCGGGGTGGGTGACCTCTCTCGGGGGGGAGGGCATTCATCTAAAGGATTTTGCGGTACTTCAGTCATGCATACAGGGGATAATGTACCCAACAAATGTGATCTACCTGTGTTATCTAGACGGCAAATACATTTTCCAAATGTCTTATTTTGTTTATATCCTTACAGTAAGAGAAACATCTCAATTGCGGTAAAGCTACAAACAAGAGTCATTCGTTCGTCGCAGGAAGCCCATTCGCATGAAGTAGACAGTTAAATCAGATTGGTTTTAGTGCACCCTTTTATGCAGTGGATGTGTACCAACAAGTCCAGCTTTCTACTGTTATGGAATTCATATTGAAATCTGAGCGTTACACTGATTTTTAATATTTATTTGAGAATCTCAATTTGACTTCCCCTTTACTGAAACTGTATGAATGCAGGTGACGGTGCTGGTGTCGGCAAAGGTCGAACCATAGCAGGGATTATCTACGAAAACTTCCTTCGAGGACGGAAGAGGGCTATCTGGTGGGTACCCTCTCGTTTCCCTTGATGTCTGGTTGAGACATTGGTTTGTCTTTGTATCGTACACATGACACAAATGCTTGCATTGCCTAAAGATGCTGTTATGGTATGACTGGCAGGGCTTCAGCGGGCGAGCGAGCCACTACGTGGCACTAGCGTAGCGTCCACCGTGATAATAAGAAGGAACTTCGTTATGCTGCCGGTGGAGGGTGCCTTTGTGTTGTGGGCCAGGTTGGCCCGCACGTCGTTGTAAATGTTTGAATTGTGTATTTAACATTGTTTTGAAACTTCCCAGATGCTGTGACAGGTTTGTTTTCTTGCTCTGTCCCGCATCTCAGGGTGAGTGTGTCCACCGATCTCAAGGTGGACTCCGAGAGGGATCTGAGCGACATTGGTGCCGCCGAAAAAATCAAGGTCCATTCCTTAAAGGAGGTGTGTCTAGTTTCGTGCACCGTGAGGTGCCGCATTTGGGGAGGCGTTGTGCTGACGACCGTGTGTGTGTGCGTGCGCAGTTCAAGTATGCGAAGATACCCCCGGAGGTGAATGGTGTTATGTTCTCCACATACTCGTCCCTGATTGGAGAGAGCCAAGGCAGTGGCGTGTTCGACACCAGGCTTGCGCAACTGCTGCACTGGTGCGGCAGTGATTTTGATGGCGTTGTATCCTTTGCCCCCTCCTACACTCCGTTTGACCTTGCGACGGATCGCAGAGGACGCTACGAACCATCGAAGCCAATACAATGCCACCTAAAAGCCAGTTCACACACTTCTGTTTGGTTGCAACCGAGTGTGCTACAGCCCACTTTTTAAGCCTCTTATGACTGTTTACAATTAGCTGCTCTGTGATACAACAAGTCGTAAACGGTCAAAAGCTGCTTAAAAATCGGCTGTAAAGGCTCATTTACATTCGCTGCACGACATCTGCGCTGTGTCGTGCAGCACAGTGCCTCCCTATTGGCTCGTTGTAAGGGTCGCCATAGCAGCAGCTCGACGCAAGCTGGCTTGACGCAGTCAAACGCAGGTGTTCGAACCGACCTTAACACATTCAGTTGCAACCAAACACAAGTGTTGAACCAGTTTTGATCCAGGAGGGGCAATGTGTAGTAAGGAGCCTTTCACCGCTCCGCACCTATGCATATGCAAGTCTTGCAGTGTTGGTTTCTTTTGGTTGGTGTTTGCTCGATGTCAGTCTCGCCAAGTCCTCTTCGGAGTCATCGTTTGCACCTCGACTCGTGACCCCAGATTGTGTTTGACGAGTGCCACAAGGCCAAGAACCTGTGCCCCGTGGGTTCCTCAAAGCCCACCAAGACGGGCGCCACGGTGCTGGAGCTCCAGAATAGGCTTCCCAAGGCGCGGGTGGTGTATGCCAGCGCTACAGGGGCCTCCGAGCCCAAGAACATGGCCTACATGACGCGCCTGGGCATCTGGGGCGAGGGGACCTCCTTCCGGAGGTTCTCGGACTTCGTCTCGGCCATGGAGAAGCGCGGCGTCGGGGCCATGGAACTTGTTGCAGTGGACATGAAGGTCAGTGCCTCTTTTTCGCTATCTCTCTTTTTCTGTCTTAGGTTTCCTTTGAGCATTAGTAGTCTCTTTTATCGTTCTGTTTACTTTTGTGTGTTTGCATCGATGCTCAACCCACGTGGTGGTGGGCCGCCCAGTTGCCTCTGCTCAGGGGTTGCCACTAGGGTCACCGTATAGGTTCCCAGAGTAATGCATTCCTTTTCTTTTTGCGTTTTTCCGACAACATACTCACTCCAGCCAATCATGTTTTGGCTTGGTGAGCATCATTGGTTGGTAGCGATCACGTGACACAAGCACCGCTAGACTCACCTCCATCGGCGCTTCAAGCGGCTCTGATCACCACCATATTTGGTCCAGCAAACAACTGCTCATCGAACGCGCGTTTACGTGCCGTCTTTTTTACGCGATTACTGACGTCAAAAGCAAGGACGTTGTGTACTTAGTGGCACGATGCCTGCTTGCTGCGCTTTTGGGTGCAGCAGCAGGCCGGAGAATGGAAAGAGTCTCTTCCGGATCCAATTTAGAAAGAACCCAACTGCAAGACGGACGAAGAAGGCTTGGCTGGCCATAGTAAAACGGAAAGATTTCGAGCCCACTGAAACAAGCAAGCTTTGCGAGGTAAGTGCCGATTACAGCTGGTTCATTCTGCGTATGGTGCAATCAACCAGCTCCTTCAACACGCTCCAATGCATTCCACTATTGCCTTCATACCCCCGTCGACGCGTGGACCCAAGATGGCGGCACCATGGTTTTGGTTTCAGCGCCGCGCCACAGTTCTAGAACGAACCTTCGGAGTTTCGTTACTCTGGGAACCCATACAGTGACTCTAGTCACCGCCTTTGTAATTCAGACTGCATTTTAATGGAAGCTATGTTGGGTCTTGTATTGTGCCACCGTCGTCGGACCTTGCTGTCAGCTAAGTTTAGTGGGATGCTACAATGGTCACGTCAGACTTCCATGTGACGCGACATTACACTCCAACTTGACACCTTGATGACACGTGACTGTGTTATGCCGTGTTGTGTTATGCTGCCCAGATCTGTGTACATGTTGCTAAGGTATTTCACCTATGGGACATTTGGGCTGTAGATCAAAGGAGGGCTGTAATTTTTTTTAGCCTCTCACACTGCCATGGGAGTGAAACTGTGTCATATGCATAAACTTAATTCACTTTCCTTTTTTTCCTTCTCTTGTAGTTTTTCTTCTTTGTTCTCTGTCACACCTTTTCACTTGTCTGTATCCTGTCACTGTATTTTTGTCCGAAAAAGAAACTGTTGGGAGCAGTTAAGAGTGATGCCGTCTTGCGTCACCGTTTGTTTTGTCTTCTCTTTCCTGGACCCAGCTTCGGGGGATGTACATGGCTCGTCAGTTGAGCTTCTCTGGCGTCTCGTTCAGGATCGAGGATATTCACCTGGGGAAGGAGTTCATTGCAATGTACAACGAGTCTGTGGAATTGGTGAGCAGTCTTGCGACTTTCATTGTCAAACTCCTTGTCTTCGTTCGGTAGCTCACTGAGCGCATCAGCACCACTAGGCAGCCATCATTTTTTCAGCTTTGCTCTCCTTTTGAATCACTGTCCTGAAATTGTAATTTTCTTTTTTTTATACATTTAAGTTGTGAAAAACAGTGTTACCAGATTTTTAAGCTCCTGCATTCTGCTTCATGGGGACACAAATTTGAAAATCAGAACTGAAAAACTTTTGAGGCCATGAAACTGTTTCAAAGGTTGTAACAATTTTTGTAAATTTAGGTTACACAAGACATTGTTATTAGGTTTTTAAGCTCGTGAATATTGATTTAAAAGAGGGCATCACTTCTTTCAATAAATTTACGTTGTGTAAAACAGTGTTATCACATTCTAGGTATACCGTATTTACTCAAGTAATAGCTGCACTGTTTATGAAGAAAACCTGAGGGTTCGCTTTTCCGTGGAGCACGCAGATTGCCTATCACCGCGATCGACAGCATGATTCCAGCTGTTTACAGGACAGAGATAACGTCTTCGTGCGAAGGTACCATCTGTGAAGATTTTATTTGTATGGAGAATCAAGTTCTCGATCTCGTTATTCGCCATGTTTTTTATGCACAATACAATGATTGGCTGTCTAAGTTTTCTGTGGGAAAGTAGACGTAAGGGCCTTGTTCATAAATAGTGTGGCTATTACTCGAGTAAATACGGTACGTCTATTTATGTAAGTCGTCTCACTTAACAAGACAATCTATCTTATAAAATTGCTGCAAAATATTAAGTATTTTTAAGTTTCAGCCATAACTAGTGCATATGGGGGGTGAGGCTATCTATTTTTTACCCTGAAATTTGTGCTTTTTCTATGCAAAATGACAATTTGAAAAGCATTCCGCATAATGGGGAATTTTGTCCTCATCAAGACCCTACTTTTTGGCAATGAAAGCTTCATTTAAATAGAAAAATAAATATCCAACTGAATTCCTCGTTAAATTTCAGTTCAGAAACATCCACAGCGAAAAATAAATTCTGCAATTCATTGAAATGATAGATTTCCTAAAATGAAGGTTGCTGCAGAAAAGTGAAACTGAGAAAAACCTATTTGAAGTTTCCACACCACTACATTTGATTTTACTGGTGGTGGTGGCAACTAAAAGGCACCAAGAGGATAGGTGGTGCCTTCTGCCTACACCCGATCTCCTGCATAGCCTCGCTGAGTGAGTCCAAGCATAAAGTGTTTCTTTTTTTTAGTATCATTTTGTTGTTAACATGTAGATATTGATTATGAAACGAGTGAGGAATTCAATACGCTTGCAATAACTACACGAACCAGCATTAGCAATTAAGGGCAGGGCAAGCATCGTCAAAATACAAAGCAGACAAACCCACGTAACTCTGTAAACAAATGTTGGTTTTAGTTAGTTTTCTGTCCAATCAGGGCGTGCTTTTCGATTCTTGGCCATGTGCATAGCCTCTTCCACGGGAAAGCTGGACTTCTATGGTGTTCTTGCCCAAATGGTGTTCACTGACAAACAAATATGTTTCATGTACTAAAACTGTGAAGAAATGCCCTTTCCAATGAGGGTATGATCATCATTCTAGAGCGTACCGGTGCGGAACTGCAGCTGTTAGAAAATAGAAAAATTGAAGTTTCACATGTTCAAAACTTGAGATTTTGCATCGTCAGCTTACTGAAAATGTTCCATTTCACCGTAAATATTTAAGATATTGCAATATAAATTTGCAGGTGTGTGCACTATTAGTTGCTGAGCAAGAATAGACAAAAATTAGAAAAGTAATTTTTCTCTAAAAAATTACAAATTTAAGGTGGTGTCCCCTTTTAAGTGGCGAGTGCTCCACTTTCAATCATTCCAGGTCGTCTCACACGAAATGTATTTGCGACATGTTAGATCTGCTGGGGCACATGCCTGTACATTGCTTGCCTTTCTTGGGGGAGGCACGCGTATCTGTCATTTGCGTTTTCTACGAAGCATATGTGTGCGTGGTGATAGGGTCTGTTCCACCAGTGAACTGGGGCTTTCCTCCTTCCGGTTTTCAGTGGGTGAGTGCACGTGCCATGTTCCAAGAGGCGGCGCAGTTGATGAGGGACGACGCGCAGCTCAAGAAAGTCACGTGGAACCAGTTCTGGGCGTCTCACCAGCGCTTCTTCAAGTACCTCTGCATCGCTTCCAAGGTGCCCCACGTGGTTACCCTCACCAGGCAGGCAATCGAGGATGGCAAGGTACACTCACGTCCGATCGGCGGCTAATTGGATCTCGCAAACGGAGCTTGGTTCTCATAGCTTTTGTCTGCACATTAAATCATTGTGGTTTAATTGCTGTAATCTCCAGAGCCTAATTGAGGCTTAACGTAAGAAAAAAAAGTTCTGTTACGACGTAGAACCGATACAGCCTTTACTCGAGAAGTACCCATACAGTTTATGAACAAAACCTCTATGCATATTTTCAAGCAGAGCAGCTGGATAGCAAATTATAACTTGTGATGAGAGGTAACGTCCTTGTACAAAATTTCTCTCTGCACTGCACGGTGCTTCATATTTCCAAGATTCAACTTAGATTAAGCTTCTTGCCAAGAATAGTTCTCTTGGCCTGATTGTTTGCTACAAGCCCTGTTCATAAATATTGCAGCTGTTACTGGAGGAAATATGCAAATTTAAAAATATAATAGACAAAGCCAGTGGAGACCCCAGGGTAGCTAAAGAGGTTGCAGTTCACAATCTTTAGCTATGTATGCAATTTTGTGTTATGATGCTGACATCCCCCGAAATATTTTTTTTTATGTAAAGGAGGAGAGAGTTTCTGGAAGTCATGTGCTCTACACCCGACTGCATTTCTTTTTTCTCCCTTCGTTTTTTTGGTTGTGCGAAGCAGACAAAAACTTGCGTGTCGCACAAGAAGTGCAAAAGTTTAGCACAAGCTGGATGTTCGTTTATTTTTCAAGCTCTTACCAATTCGGGTTCGTAAGACGAGCAATGTCTTCAGCCAGGAGAAGGGGCGACTACTCGGCGACATTCTTCGTGCGAATCAGCTTGTTGGTTGGGTGTTTTGTACGGAATAAATCCTAGTTGTTTTGGTCGCTAAAAGATTTCTCTTTCAAAGCTAGAAAGATTCGCCGGTTTCGCGAGCAACAGTTTTGAAGTAGAGGTCATCCGCCGCCATCGCATGGTCCGCTTCGTCCAGCCGTCCAGCCCGCGACTCCCGTGATATGACGCCATGTTGAGAATTATGCAGACAATGTAGAGTGTTTCCAATTCTCTGTGCAACTTTTTTTTTTTTTTTTTAGTCAGCGTATTTGCAGCTTTTTGAAAGCCACAAAAAAATGGGTATCATATTTTTTAATATTTTTAATATTGAGTGTGTGCCTTCGATGGCTACAAAAATGGTCTGTGTATCTAAACCATAAAAAAACGGCACGAGACCATGGAGAAGAGAGTGAGCGTCACTCAAACTGGCCAGTTCTCAACGGTTTGAAAGAAAGCGAATTTCGAGCCGCAAATAGTGTTCTGCATAGTTGGGTTCTCATATGTCATGTAAGAATAAAAATCTTGACAAGCATACCGTATTTACTCGAGTATTAGCCGCACTGTTTATGAAGAAAACCTGAGGGTTCACTTTTCCGCGGAGCACGCGGATTGCCAATTACCGCGATCGACAGCATGATTCCAGCTGTTTACAGGAGAGAGATAACGTCTTCGCGCGAAGATACCATCTGTGGCGATTGTGTTTTTTTTTAAATCGTGTTCTTGGTCTAGTTATTCGCTATGTTATTTATGTGCATTGCTATGATTGGCTTTATATGTGTTCTGCAGAAAAGTAGATGCAAGGGCCTTGTTCATAAATAGTGCGGCTATTACTTGAGTAAATATGGTAAATACCGTTTAACAATGTTCCTTTAGCTAAGTAGGCATGCTATTTCTGAAGTATTTTACCAATAACATACTCTATTTACATTTAAACAATGTACTGCTGGAGTGAGCATGCTCTGAAAGTGGTCATTCTGAGAACAAGAACACCATGGAACTTTTCCAAGTGTTAAGGGCACCCATGGCAGTTTATTTTATTTCATTTATTTGTCATAAATAAAAACATTAGAACAGTTCTGTATCAAACATTAGAACAATTCTGCATCAAGGCGGCATGTGATCAATCGTAGTTCGGAACCACTTTATGTCCAGTGAATGTTGTTTTGGTTTTGGTTTCAAACAAGGATGGTGGGCATGTCAGCCTGTCCTATGGAAATAGAGCTGGTGGGCTATGCTTTTATAGAATGTATGAGAGCATGTTGCAGAGTTGTTGCATATACGTTTTGCATTTCACTTTTGAAATCAGACTGTCTGAGCCACAATTTTTTTTTTTTTTTCACTGAGACTCAGATTTACAGGGGGAAACAAATGTCCAGGAGTTTCTAAGAAAAAGAAACTTCCAAAATGGTTTGATGACCCCCTTAATCATCAAATATTTGAAGTGTTTATTATATGGACACATAAAAGGTGACCACATTTAGTTTTTTTAATTTATCAAATAGCTCACCTTTTATTTTCCAATTATACTTAATAATAGCCTTCCTGTGCCCATGTTTCTTGGCACTCTAAGTTTTTCGAAATGCAAGAACTGTTCTATCTATAAATCATATTGCTCAGGATGTTCACCTTGACCTTGGTCATTTTACACCTTGACCTTAATCATTTTACAATCCACTTTCTCAGAAATATTGTTTGGTGGCACTTTGGACGACATTGGCACTTTGCATCTTTACCAGACCTAGGTACTCAAAAGCGGGGTTATTTTCCTACAAGTGCACCAGTAGGTGCAGACGTGATTGAAAATATATTCATATTGTCCATGCTGTGTAAAAGTTTTAACTTTTAAATGTGTCTACTTCATAAAACGTGTCATTAACTTGAATAGTCCACATCTCTTTTCATGCTTTCTTTTCCTTGCTCTGTCTCAGTGCGTCGTGATTGGCCTGCAGTCCACGGGACAAGCGAGGACACTCGGGCAGCTGGAAAAGCAGGGGGGACAGATCTCTGACTTCGTATCAACTGCCAAGTGGGTGTCCCATGCTGGGATGTTTTTTGTTTTGGGGGGGAGGGGAGGGGAGGGGAGGGGAGGGGAAGGGAAGGGAAGGGAGGGGAGGGGAGGGAAGGGAAGGGAAGGGAAGGGAAGGGAAGGGAAGGGAGGGAGGAAGGGAGGGAGGGAGGGAGGGAGGGAGGGAGGGAGGAAGGGAGGGAGGGAGGGAGGGAGGGAGGGAGGGGGGCGGGGCGGGGGTGGGGGTTGTGGGGGCGGAGGCAGATGCGCATGCGGGGGCAGGGGTTCGCTTTTGGGCCCAGTATAAGGATGGTTTTATAACTTTCCAGTGCAAGTTGACCCATCGACTTTGTGGGGCCTTTGGAGGGAAGAGAATGTTTATAGTATAACCTTGTTACAACAGACGTTTGATTGTAACATACCGATTTGTGGAGTTTGCTTGGTCTTCCTATCTATGCCATTGATCCAGTTTTGCATTATAACATACATTCAGATATAATGGACTATATTCGGGAGTCTGTAAATAGTTCAACATTTCATTATAGCGGACTTTTTGACATCAAGGTCATTCATTCTATGCCAAAGGAGGCGCGGCAATTTTTGATGTCTGGGATGTTTATGAAAAAATTAATTTAAATAAAACAGCCTCTGAACCAAAATTTTCTTTTTTTTTTTTTTTTAAAAGAACAAATTTTAGTTTTGCTAGTATCATGCTTTTGAGATCTGGAATTTGCATAAAACCCACGTAGTTAAGAAAAACATTATAAAAAAAAAATGGTTGTGTACCACACAGATTTAGGTGGGTGCTTAAAGGGACACTGACAGGGTATTTTTGCTCGCCGAGGTTTTTAGTTGGACATGACATATGAGAGCCCAACTACCCAGAACAAAAATTGCGGCTCGAAATTCGTTTTTTTTTTTTTCCGCCCGAAAACCGTCGATCAAAAACTGGCAAGTTTGAGTCTCGCTCCCTCTCTTTTCCGTGGTCACGGTCTGTTTTCTAAGGTTTCGATGGGCCCTCCAAATTTAATCAAAGTCGTTGGTCATGGAAGGCACGCACTCAGAATTAAAAATAGAAAAAAATATGAAAACTATTTTTTGTGGCTTCTAAAAGCTGCAAATACATTGATTGAAAAAAAAAAAAAGAAAAAGAAAAAGTTGCACAGAGAACTGGAAGCATTCTGTGCGTGCGTCGCTTCGCGTATCGTGGGACTTGCGGGGACGGCGATGGCAGCGGACGACGGACGTGGGACCTCTACTTCAGAACTGTCGTTCGTGGTACCGGCGAATTCTGTCTGCCTTTAAAAGAGAAATCTGGGATTGATCAAAAGGATTGGTTTTCATCCCGTACGACACGCCCGACCACCAAGCCGATTTGCACGAAGACGTCGCCGAGCCATTGCTCCCTTCTCGTGGTTGAAGACATCGCTCGTGCAAACGTCAAGCACCGCATGAAGTGTGTACTTCGAGTTGAATATGCACGCATACAATTTCTTTACTAGATGCGAATTTCGCCAACGCGTGGGGCTTCGACTTCGACCCGGGAGTGCTTGTGCTTGAAGGAAATCGGCACCCAACTTTCCAACCTACAGTTTACCGGCTGTTTTATTGCTCGGAAAAGGGTTCGCTCAGTAGCTCAGTGGAAAGACGTCCGCTTCCCATGTGGATGGTCTAGGTTAAATCCCCAGTAAACTCACAATTTTTTTTTTCCAGACACTTTGCAATGTTGACATTTCTTTTTTTTTTTGCAATTATCACTGAAAAAACAAACAAAAATAACGAACAAATGTTGTGAACGGACCGTCGCTGAACAAAATGGTATAAGATTTCCTTTTTGACACCTGCGAACTTCGAAGAAGTCAATGTAATCACATTCCACAAAATTCTAGGAGCATATAAATCAGGTAGCGTCCGCTTTCCGAGGTGCCCGTAAATGTTCTACAGGAATTGCAGCCAGCCATTGGTCCCGATCCCGTTGATCTTTCGGAAACTCTGTCGCACAACGCCACTTTTTTTCGGACGCAGGGCATGTGAACCAGCTCTTCGCGCAACATCTTGGGTGTGTTCCTTTCGGAGCTGATCACGGAAATTCACCACGGGCACTCATTACTCACCTCCAACTCTTCAATGTACAAAACAACTCATCTTGAAGTACAGGACAGTGAGAGGAACAAAGATAACTGCAAAAATATTGCACAGCAAACATTTCCCGCTACGCCGCCTCGCCTGTTGTCTGCTGAGCAGAAAAGAAAAAAAAAAAAAAAGCGCACGGTCGGGTGTGGCCACGTGACTTCCGCCACTCACTCTCTCCCAGTGATGTGATTGCTGCGCCAATTGCACCAAACTGCGCCAAGGGGCTAACCCTGCTACATCCTGCTACATTTCGCCGAAATATGGGTAATCTGCGCCAAGCCTGCGCCAAAGGACCAATTTCGGTCACCTTTCAAAACCGAAACTAAACTGAGTACCGTAATTGAGCGTGCGTGAGCTAGGTGGCGCAAGCGACCCCCCGACAGAAAGTATGCTGCATCAATCGTCCATCCGGTCTCGCATGGTTTTTCCCGCCGTTCCTCATTTCGCGCTCTCGTGGGTCTCGTCTCGCATCCTGTTGAAAATGTTTTAACGATAGATGCAAGCGTATATGGACGCCCCGACGCTAGCTTGCCGGGTACCAGCCATGCCGTCATGTTGTAAAACGAAACCACGTTTTTGCGCATTGGGAGTTACTTGTGATCTGAAGCACTCACTTCTGAAAGAGACTGCCGTGGCAAAACTATTTTTGGTCCCTGCCTACCACTCGCCGTGGTTATCACGTCGGGTGTTCTTGTCCACACATTGCTACAGATATGGCGCTTTCTAAAATGAAGCGTAAGGACAGCTGCAGGGTAACCAGCAATCCTGTCCTTGTTTAAATTAAACGCTACTACAAAATCCCTCTAGCTCAAAGACTGTTGTGTCGAAGTACTGTTTACCTAGGTTTCTCTCTGTGGGATTTCTTTTGAGAGGGACCCCGGTACGTGAAAAGTCTGTCGCAAAAAAAAGTTTAAGACAAGTTGGTTAGAGCAAAAAAGGCAATGTCTGCACGCTGGACCCGCACAGCGCGCTTATTTATCTTGAGTTCAGTTGTTGCACAAAGTGCTCCAAGAACTTTTTGACCCCGACTCGCGATGTCTTGCATTGATGCGCTCAGGTTCTTTTTTTTTTTTTTAGCTTTATTGTCCTTGTTTTGTTTGCGCTTTTTAACCTTTTAAATTAGGTTGTGCCTCGCATACTGACCTGGCAAGCACGCGCCGCTGGACTGTTTTTCTTTTTTTTTTTTATGCTGGATTGTTACATTTCGCATACAATTTTGGGGACCAGATGGCGACGGAGCGGAGTGGCAGAGTTTCGGTTTCGATCGAACAGCCGTCTCCGTTCGCATAACGAAGCGCGTGCAACTGCAAGCTGCCGAAGTTGCCCTCACGTGCACGCGAACATGGTTGCACGACAGAGGTAACAGCCGGGACGTTTCCAATAAATTGCTTAACATTTGCTCGCTTCTGACGAAAATCTGGCATGTTGGGAACCAGTAAAACGGTGGGAGACGTTTTGGAATTGCTCGGCAACGCCTACAGCACTGTACACTTGTGGGATGTCTCAACGTCTCTTTGGAGACATTGAAAGTGGACATTCATTACTTGCCGAAAGCTAAGCGAGGCTTGCAGCAGCCTTGCAGAAAGTTTCAACAAGCAAAAGGAAAAGCACCCACCAGTCGTACTGCACCTTTTTCATATGTACAGTTTCGTATTGCATTGCAGTAGTTACGTGTTTCATCAGTTGGATACTGCTTCAATTTATTATATAACTAGTCAAGTTTATGCTTTCATATTTACTGCTAAGCTGGTCATTTTCAAATAAATTTAATATGTGCAATTCGGTTCTTATCTATAGCGGGTACATATATATATGTATCATTTAACTGAAGCATTGCAAAATATGTTGTGTCATTGGCATTTCAGTTAACAACTTGAAAGACTCCCAGGTCGTCTAACTTGACCATAATTTGTTTATTGTGGCGAGCAAAGTGCCCTTCCTTTTTCCAGCACTTAAAACAAATATTTTTATTTTTATATAAAAAAAAAAAAACTGCTTCAAAAGCCACTTTTTGCTGCTCCGAAACACTGTTTGGCTGCACCAAACGGCACTTTTGCTGCGCCAAAACACTATTTTGGCTGCTCCAAAAGGTGCTCCAAAACGGCTTAGGCCAATCACATCACTGCTCTCCTCTCCACTTCTCCGACCTCTGTGCGCGGGTTTCGGTTTCGGTTTCGAGCAGTTGCGTCTTTTGGCTTTATTAAAAATATACGCTACTCTGTTGCTATATATTAATGGGGTAGTCCTCTGACACCATGATGAAGCGCCTGGCAAAAAATGAAAAATATTTCTTGGGGGGGTGTCAGTGTCCCTTTAATTACTTAATAATATGCCCTATCTTACATTAAAACACAAACATTGAAAGATGCCATTTTGAGTCCAAATAGGAGCTCTAAAAAAAGAAACTTCATGAGATTTTAATTTTTTTTAGTCAACTTGGATTTGGGTGTTAGCCACAATACTTTTTTTCTTTGTTCGAAACCAAAATGGAAACTGGACTGGGGAGGAAAAGAAATATAGAGGGGGAGAAAGTTACCAAAAGTCACAAAGCTGTGCAACCTTTTTTTTTTTTTTTTTCAGTCAACATATTTGCAGTTTCTTAGAAGCCACAAAAAATGGGTATCATATTTTTGTTTATTTTTAGTATTGAGTGTGTGCCTTTGATGACCCACGACTGATTATCTTTGGTGGTTGTGTCTAAACCATAGAAAACAGCATGTGACCACGGAGGAGAGAGCGAGCGCGGCTAAAGCCGGCCAGGTTTTGATCGGCGGTTTTTGGGCGGAAAGAAAACAAATTTCAGTCCGCAAATTTTGTTCTGGGTAGTTGGGCTCTCTTACGTCTTGCACGAATCAAAACCTTGACGAGCGTAAACACCCTGTTAGTGTCTTTTTAATACTCAAGTCATTTTGAGAAGGTTCATTCGCTAGTGAACTGGAGTTATCCGATTTTTCGAAAAACTCGTGGAAGATACAGCCCTGGGGCAGACATCGGCCTTGTTAATCACTTCAAGCGAGTCGCGTTCAACGCAAACATGAAGGAATTTTACATGAGTTACACAGGTGCCGTCTTCGCCATCTGAGTGTTGGACTCGGCGGACATTAGATGAAGTAATAAGAGTTATTCTTCATACATAATTTTATGTGTTATGTTGCAATTGCAGTATTGACACCCAATACTATCAGAGGCTTGACCAATTAACAAACTTTGCAAAAAGGTAATAGCTTTTTAAATATTCATAGATCAGTTTTCACGTTTCTACTCTCAATTTCAATGTTGCATGCAAAAATATTGCCACAAGCCCTGCCCACAACGATGCTTAGAAGGGTGACATAGTCGTTCGCGTGACGTCGCCAGTACCTTGGCAGCGTTTCCTTGATGGATGCGCCAACAAACTTCGATGCATCTTTGTTCTATCATAATACATTTGAGTTCAATGGGGAAGCGACGTCACTGTTATCCGTTTGCATCGGTGAAGAGTTATCCGGTCTGAATAATTTTTAAATCTGGACGTACGACAGACGAGGCCGACGCGCAGTATGCATTCCCGAACTCGGGAAGCAGACAATGCAGGCCTGCGTTTGTCGGCAGTTACCTGCGCAGAAGTAGAGTAAAATTAAGACATCAGTATCATTACGTAACATAAAGAGGACACGGATGCATGGAAGTCTGGATGACGTTCACTTCAACTGAATAAAACATGCTTTCATGAAAGTGTTGAAGACCTTGCGCTGGCGTCTCGCACTGTTGACGCCTCACTGGTGAACGCTGGTGTGAATCGCCCACAAGGCGGGCGCCTAGAGTCGTGGTCGGGGAGGCTTGTCTTAAAAGGAATAATTTCTCAGCAACAATAAAAAGTACTTTTCCTTCTAATTTTTTGATATATTGAACAGATGAAGTGAATTGAATTTCTGCCTATTCCGAAAGTTGCGAGCACCGCTGCCCACATTGCTATTTATGACTCAAAATGGCTGTTTCTGCATAAACTGGAGAGGTTGTCATTTAATTAAAACGCAACAGAATGAGGCTTCGAATATTTAATACAAGCAATTCAATTATTAGTCTTAAAAGAACAAAGGAAAAAAGTATTGTGTCGCACGTCCAAATCCAAGTTGACTAAAAAACATCAAGAAATCTCGTAAAGTTTCTTCTTTTTGGAGCACCTATTTGCTATTTCCTATTTTTTTTTTTGCAAATAGGTGCTTTTTGGAGCACCTATTTGGACTCAAAATGGCATCTTTCAACGTATGTATTTTATTGTAAGGTAGGGCATATTATTAAGTAATTAAGTGCCCACCTAAATTTGAGTTGTATGCAGCCATTTTTTTTACAATGTTTTTCTTAACTACATGTGTTTTATGCAAATTGCAGAAATTTCGAGCAAGAGATCAACAAAAATAAAAATTATTTTTAACAAAAAAAATATTTTGTTAGGGTTTAGAGGCTTCTTTATCCAAATAAATTTTTTGTACATATCTCAGACATGAAAAAATTGCTGCGGCTCCTTTGGCATGGAGTGACCTAGCAGTCACTATTCGAGCATTATGCGGGCTTGGTTTGGTAGCAATGGCTATCATTTTGCAAAGTGCTGTGATTGCGCCCAATGCCTCGCAAGCCTTGTATGACTCAAAGCGCGCAGTAATGACGATCATCAGTACACCTTAAGAAGAAAAAAAATCACAATGTTTCAAAGTGCAGAAGTTTTAATAAACCAGTTCTTTTCTATATCCATTCACATTTCGGCAGTCTCGCTGGTTAGAACAGACTACTCCTGTTATAATCAACCTCAGCCTGTAGTAAGAGCATTTGTATTCTGCATATTCCTTTTACAACAGACCAAAATCTTCATCACTATCAAGGATCACTATCAAGGTCTGTTATAACGAGTTTATATTGTAATCCCGTCATGTATGGAATTGCGGTGTGGAGCCAAGCTACTAACTTGTGGACGGCTGTGGGAGCGCTGTGACAGGGCAGTGACAGGGCTTTGACAGGGCTGTGACAGGGCAGGTGGTGCCGTGAGTGCAGCTCTTTGCAGAATTATTTTGTGGGACAGCCGACGGATAATGAGAGCATAGGTTGCTTCAAAGTTCGGCTGGGACTCGTGTATCAGCCCCACTGTGACGCAGCACCCTTGTGACACTCTTTCATAATAGGAATGCAAAAACCCTATACTGCTAGAGAACCAGTTGTATAACACACTCTGTGTTAAAACTGAACGAAAATATAACATTGCCTCGGTGCTACTAACCAAATATTAAGATAATCAAATCTACGTTGGTAGTTATTCCACCCCAATATTTATGTTTATTTGGTATGTAGCACTGAGCAGCATAATTGGTTGTTTTGTTTTTGTTTTGAAGTATGGGAAAACAGTCCTGCAAACAGACTTGTTTTTACAGCTTATAGAGCACTTTAAAGGGGTACTACACCGTTTTTTTCATTGTCTCCGATTTGCTTGAAATTTTGCTAAACTAACCAACAAACATTGCTAAAATAGTATCCCAAATATTAGGTCAAAATATTGTTTTTTCGCGAAGTTATTGAATTTACAGTTTTGGTCTTCACCATGTTCTTCAAACTGAAAGTCTCTACTGGCAACAACAACAAAGTGACGTCAGTGGAAGGCAGGGGTTAACTTTTTGGACTACAGAAGTTGTTCTTAAAAGATTTGAAGCAGTTTCTTGGTGTCAAATGAGTGCTTCGGAAGCTCGCTCCCGTATCCGCGCTTCAGCACGGAACAAATGATTAGCATATTCAATTTTTAGACTGCTTGCTCGACTGGCAAGCCTGCCTGCCACTGACGTCACAGCACTGAAAAGTGCGCGAATATTTGAATATTGGTTTTTGCACCATCTTCATTTGCCGATTTCACAATACCTATTATGAATTTCGCGATGCTAAATAGCATACCGGAAAGGCTAAAGGCCGGGGAGTCAGAAATTATAGTTAGTTGAGGTAGCTCAAAAAATCGAAGGAGTACCCCTTTAAAGGCACCCGGTATTTATTTATTAATTTAAGAATATTGCCAGCCGACCGATCGCTGGCCTAGGCAGACTACGCAAGTAAACGAGACAAAAAATAATTAAATTGTACGTACCAGCATCCACAATGTAAATGAAATTCACTTCAACACATCCATTTATATAAATGTAAAAAAAAAAAAAGAAATCAAATCAATTACAACAAGGTGTTGAACTGGGCGAGTTGGTAAAAGTTTGACATGGTAAGTGTAACAGCCTCTAGTGACCCTATTTTGTTGACATGGGCCTCGTGGAGGGCGTATTGTTTGATTACACATCGTGCTATCTGGTAGTGACGTATGTGTTCTCTTTTCCTTTTCAAATAAAACCTTTCCGTTGCGAATACAGCTATTGTCCTGTCGCGTCTTTTCCTTTTATCGTCCTCGTTTCTTGAAGCTGTTACACCCACCATGTAAAATAAACTATAACGAATGAAAATAAACAACGGTATTATGACTGAAGCCTATATAATAGCAAACTGATGAAAAATTACATTTCTGCTTGTGTACAGCCACTAGGGTGTTGGGGTCTGACAGTGTTGCTTTGTTTCCCCTTGTGGCTGCAGAGGCGAGTTTCAGATGCTGATAGAGAATCACTTCCCGGCACCCGATCGCTGGAAGATGCCTCCTGGCACCGAACTCCTATTGGGTGACGCCACCACCCAGCCGCTGCCTTCTCCATCAACTGGGGCATGCAAGCATCAGAGCGGTGTGTAGCAGACCTAACCTCCCGCCTCACTCTTTCCCCTTCTGTCTCTTTCTTTCTCTTGCACACACCCACGCACCACATGCTGAACCTTTTATGTCATCATGAATGGAATTTTATGGACATGCCCCTGTACTAATTAAGTTTTTGAAATTGAATTACTGCTAAATGCGACATTAGGTTTTCTGCTGTGATGTTCTGAAATGGATAAACGAGTCCTGATATATCCGTGTGGGTCATTAAGAATGAGCCACCCGAAATTTCATATGATTATTGTTTTTCTCCGCTAGGGCTGTTGTGACCCCAAGAATACACAATTGTGCACTGCCCAACACTTCTGCTGCCTTTTCTCCTCCTTGGCGCCTTTTTTGCATCTTTCACTTTTTTCGCAGTTTTGATAACAGCTTTCCGATTCTCAGAAAAAAACCGACGAAATAATGACTGCTTGTTTACGCTAGCAACGTCTCCCAGCGTACCAGCACCCTAATTAGTAACCAATTGAGTAGGACTGGCAGAATGACAACTTGAAAATCACTCTTTTGGTTGTACAGGCTCTTATAGCTTGGTCCTGGCAATTGAAGTTAATTGTGTCGATTGCGAACCTCGCTGGTCTTTTTCTCTCGAATGCGGTTTTGAAATAATACTTTGGAAAGTTTGTTACTGGTGCGAGTAAAACACTGGTATGTGAACTTCCCGCGTTGCAGCTCGGGCTCGACGGGCGGCAAAGAAGCGCCACAGGGATGCTTCATCGAATGACAGCAGCGAGGTCGAGATGAAGAGAGAGCCCGAGAGCGACCTTGAGCCGTCCTTGTCCAGTTCCGTCCCAGAGGACTCCGAGGGAAAGTTGGTCATTGATTTGGATGCGGAGGATGACCTCAAGTCTCTTTGTGACAACTTGGACATTGTCGGTGGGTGCTGCGCAGGAGGGGCCCAGTGTTGTGGTGGAAAATCTGCCTTTTTGGGAGACAGTGGTAGCCTCTAGTTTGTTGATAAGCTTCCATAACAGTGATAAGAGTATTTGTAGACGTTTTTTAGTTGTAGGGTAGTACATAGAGTCCTGCTAATCCTTGTGTCTGTGAATATATTGCCTGGATGCTACCTCACATTGCATCGGTGACAGTCTAAAGCGGCGCGAAAAAACTTACGAAAACACTATACCATGGCTGGGTGTCTTTACAAAAAAAGGCTCGAGGTACACCTAAGCACTTCTTATGAGTTGTGAATGCGAAAGCATGTACATCATACTTCCGCTCCCTTATTAAGTCTGCAGCTTATTTGCGTCGATGGCAGAGTGGCGTGCTCTGCTGGTAAGGAGAGGGTGCCTCTCCTCGCCGCCTTGATTTTGGACGCTCCGTGTTAACGGCGCGCTGACGGACAAGGAGCACGGTGGGGTGGCCGTCGTTGAAAATGACGCGCAGCGGCCAATGGGTGCCTTGTCGACGTGTGCCAGCCAATGGGACCGAAGCTGAAAATCCATCAGTTTTACTCCGCTCCTTTGGGATCGGGGAATTTTCGTGCTGTTGGCTAGCTTTTCGCATGGTTTCATAGCTGGGAGCTGGCTTCACTTAGAGAAAGGATTTAAAGTGCCGTTTGGCGCGGTTTCAAAGCTGATGACGTCGGCTCACTCCATGAGACAGTTAATGCTTTCGCATTAAGGGGGGGACGCTACCTGGGCATGTCTACTTTTGAACTGCTCATTCAATCGGTGTAAAATTTGCAGGTGGTGTTTGTAGCCATATAGAAGGAGGGCATGCAAAGTTTCAGCCCAGTGAACCAACTTTATGAGGTACTATACCCCCAGAACGTAGCTTTGTATGGAATCTGCTCAAAGAATCTATCGTTGAGAAATGGTGTTGATCACCACATAGTTTTCTGGTGGGATGCATACCAGAACACTATGAAAAGAAATTTAAAAAAATTGGCATTTTTCAAATAAAATTTTTTTTTTTTTTTTTTTTTACATTTGTTCAGGTTTTGCAAATTACAATTTTTCATAATACCGGAACATGAAAATGCAAAATATAAGTTCATAGTAACCGGCTCGATAAAACTTCGGCATATAATCTGCAAATATTAAGTCTCTCAATAGTTTCATACTGAAACAATAGTTTTATTAAGGTGGGATTTGCTGCCAAAAGTGAAGCTGAGATAAATGCACTTGAAGTTTCAAGATGACATTTTAAAATTTTCTTTTTGTGTTTTAAATGCCAGAAGTTCTGTCCAGCAGTGTAAGTGATGTCTTCCTCAAACTTCTTCTGATATACTGACATTGCTTTCAGCTATTTTCACTTGTGGATGGCGAGTGCTATGCAGTGCAGCACGCCTCACCAACATATAAAGAATAATTATTTTTAACATTGTCTGTCAGTGCACATTGACAAGACTTTGTGAGGGTGTTCCTTGTTATCCATACACGCCAAAACTCTGCAGTTCTGAATATGAACTTTTTGGAAAAAAAAGAAGCAATTCAAGGTAGTGTCCCCCCTTAAAACAGCGCCCTTCAGCGGGAATCTAAAACCCCAACCTCGCTCCGTAATCTGATCTGTTACATGAAGTGGCTTGGAGGAGTGTTGTCACAGCTGCTGTGATGACACTCGCTCACTTGAATTCCTTGATGTTGGGGTCACAAAAATAAAAATTAGTTGCCGCCATGTTGAGATAATCACTTAAAATGCGAGTTTTCAAGCTGGGTTTCTAGGAAACGAGGGGGATCCCCAGATACCCTCGAGGGTTTCCCGAGCTTCCAAATTTCCTCAACTGCCCCCCCCGAAATGTTTTTTTTTTTTTTTTTTTAGTTTAAGCAGTATTTTAGCAGGTGTGAAAAATTCAATGATGTATAACTCTATACCGGATGCTCTCTATAGTATGGGCATTATCGCTTACATGGTCTGTAGGCTTCTGCACTGCTTTATTAAACCAGTGTCAAAACCAAACGGTGTTTGTCTGCTATGAATAAAAAAAGGGCTAAGTGTTCCTTAAGATGAATAAATAAAAAACTTTAAATCAATAAATAAATAAATAAGTTTCAGAACCCCCGACTAACAAGACGGAAATGCCTCATTGACTAGAAGCACTTGACAATCTGATGCATAGGCACAATGAGCTATGTGATCACATAATTGCTCTAAGTTACGCAGTCACGCAAGCTTTGGTTATTTGATGTCACGTGACATCATTTCATGTGGCCACGTGACCCATCTTCACCGATGACATAGGAGATTGTGCCACCTGACGTTGGAGATCACAAACCTGCTGCATTCAAGAGCAGCTGCAGTGGCTGCTCATAGACCATTCACAATCATCTGAACTTACCTTGATACTTCCCGTAAAGCCGACTGATGCAGTATGCATTGTGTGTTTGAATCAGCATCCCTAACACACTACCTATAAAGCCAAAGAGAGGAAACAGGCGAAACAGGTCGACACAAACACGTGGCGCATTCTGCATTTGTCGGTTTTATGCAAAGTATTTGACGCTGCAATGTTTTAATTAATGTAGGTATTGAACCAGCATTTATATTGTACTTGTATCTAGGGCAGTCTCAGGGTGCAAATTTATCAATTGAGTTGATGGAAGGAAAAGCTATTGGGTCGCTGCAGATCCAGCGATTGAATGTTGGCCGTAGCTGTGAGAGCGCTTCACGAGAACGGACGCAGCTGCGTGAAGCCTTTGATGCATCCTGTCTCATCGTAACATTGATGCAGGTCCCTGCGCCAGCCGTAACATTAAATCTAAAGGCAAGAGGACGAAGCTGAAGGCCAAAAACAAAACGAAGCCCCAGAAATCCGTGAAGAATGGCACCGTCCCCCAGCCGCCACTGTCTGCATCGAATGGGACAGGCAAGCGTAGGAGTGGTATGTAGCAGACTGCTCCCTTCCCCCTCGCCTCTCTCACATACTTCATGCCCTCTTGTTGCTTCATGTCATCATGGATGAAATATTCTTTGCATGATCTTGTACTGGTAATGTTTTTGAAATTGAATAACTGCTAAACAGAACATCGGGAGCTGCGTCACGTGTCGTGACGTCCTGAAATTGATAAACATGTACTGATATATCTGAGTAACTCGTTAAAACTGACCAACCCCAAATTTAGTAGGATCATTGTTTTGCTTCGCTGGAACTGTGGTTACACAGTTTGACATTACTTAGTAACCGATGGAGTAGGACTGACAGATTTGACTTTTTGAAAATCACTCTTAAAGGAGAACTCCCGCAACTTTCTTGAGCTATATTTCCCGAATTCCTGGCCTTTACTCTTTCGAGCATACTCTTTAGTATCGCGAATTTCAAAATAGTTACTGTGAAATCGGCAAATGAAAATGATGCCAAAATCAGCATTCAAATATACCCGCGCTTTTCAGTGCTGTGACATCAGTGGCAGACAGGCTTGCCTGTCGGGCATGTAGTCTAAAGAATGGACTGTGCCGAGCATTTGTTTCGTGCTACTGCGGGTGCTGGAGCGAGCTTCCAAAGCATTCATTTGACACCATGAAACTGCTTGTAATCAGTTGGGAACAAATCCTACAGCCCAAAGAGTGAACCGCTGCCTGCCACTGGCATCACTTTTTCATTATTGCCAGTAGAGACTTTCAGTTTGAAAAACGCGACGAGGACCAAAATTGTAAATTCAATATAACTTAGAAAAAAAAGAAAAAAAAACTATTTGGCGTAATGTTTGGGATACTGTTTCAGCAATGTTTTTTTGGTGCATTTAGGAAGTTTTTAGACAAATCAGGGACCACGAAGAAAGCGCCGGAGTACCCCTTGAAGGTTGTAGAAGTTCCTATAGTTTGCTCCCGACAGTTGAAGTTTAATTGTGTTGATCGTAGACCTCGCTGATCTTTGTTTCTGCAAGGCAGTTTTAAAAGGTTTCGCCTGCACTAATGATACTTTGGAGAGCTGGCCTCTGGTGTTAGGAAAACGCTTGTGTGTTGATGCCCTTGTTCCAGCTCGCCAGGCTCAACAGACGCTAAAGCGCTACAGGGAAGCATTATCGGATGACAACAGCGAGGTCGAGATGAAGAGTGAGCCCGAGAGTGACTTTGAGCCGTCCAGGTCCAGTTCCCCCGCAAAGGACCCCGAGGGAGGCCTGGTCATTGAATTGGACTCGGAGGATGACCTCAGGCCTCTTGGTAACGGTTTGGACAGCGTCGCTGGGTACTGTGCGGGAGCTCCCTTTGTTGGGGGAGTAATATGTATATTCGGGAAGCCTCAAGTGGAGGCCTTGGTATACACTTTTTAGCTGTAGGGTGGTAGAGAATCTTTTTGTCTGGATACGGGGCCTGGACACTCCCTCACAGTACATTGGTGCACAGTGAGAAGAGAGCGAGATTAGGGATCACGGAAACTCTCGAGTGATAAGCCCAGGCTAATTGTCCTAGCAGGCTTCTCTGTAAAGTTTTAAGGGTAGAGTGTGGGAATGTAGTTCTAGATTTGTGAGTGCCGCCTCGATCTTTGGACAAGTTACTTTTTATTACCGCATAGGTTCTTCTATACAACTCGCTTTATTTTACACTGCAACAACATTTTACTTTATGTCACTTTTCAATCAGCATCTACATTCTAGTTGCCTCATGGGCAGTCACATGGCACAACTAATTTTTCAGCTGGGTTGATGAAAGGGAAGGCCTTTAGGTTGCAGCCGATCCAGAAATTGAATGTCGGCTGTAGCTGCCAGAGCATCGTGAGAACGAACTCGGTTGGAGAAAGCCGTTGACACATCCTGTCTTGTCTTCGCTCTGATTCAGGTTCCTGGGCGAGCCTTAATAGTAGTATCAAACTTAGAGGCAAAAGCAGCAAGCTGAAGGCCAAAAACAAAAGGCATCGCAAGATACCCATGAGGGACGGCGCCAACCTGACGGAGGACGAGAAGAAGGCGGCGGCCATGAAGCAGACGCTGCTGGAGCGCCTGGAACGCCTCGGGGAGAAGCTGCCTCCCAACACCCTGGACCAGCTCATCGACGAGCTCGGCGGGCCGAACTGCGTTGCTGAGGTAAGACCACACCCACCGCTGTCTCCGCCTCTACCTGCTGTGCCACCTCCTAAACAGGCGGATGTCAGCCTTTTTTTAAAGCGACAGTTTTAAGGGCGACACTTTGCAGAGATTTCGAGCTCATGGGCCGTCATCGCTGCTATGAAAAAACCCTCTCTTCCTTCTTGGCACGGGGCGAGGGAAGTCGTGACTTCCCATCGGCCGTGCCGTGCGAAGAGAGCGAAGAGGCCAACCCTGGGCATCCCACTAAGAATGGTTCAATGAAGGGAAAAGCTTCCTGTCCTCTGCTCAAAATAGTTGTTTCCGAACATTCCTCACATTATGCGAAATTCCACTTTGGCAGTATGCAGTTACTAAGCTTAATGTTGGATGGTTTTAGAAACTTCCACCGCATTTCCTCACTTCACGGATCACTATGAGAATTAACCACGTCGCACCTCCATCCTCAGGTACGTGACGGCACTATTCCCCCCGCATTGTGCGACCGTGCTGTAGCTATTGCTTTAGTTTTTTTTTGCACATTGTTGATGAAAAAAATAACTTTTTTTTAAAGCGATAGCCTCGTATCAGACCACTCCACGAACCTTGCTTGCTCCTGTTGGTTGCACCGTAGAAGGGTTGGTTAGGGGGGGCAGGGGAAAAGAGGGGAGTGTCAGCTCACTGCTTACACTCCCCTTCCCTTCCTGTGTTGATTTCGTTTATGCTTATTTATACTTGGTGACCTCCGTCCTCAGGTACGTGATGGCACCATTCCCACCGCATTGCGCGACCATGCTGTTGCCATTGCTTTCGTTATTTTTCACATATTCAGTGAAAAAAATAACTTTTTTAAAGCGATAACTTTGTATCAGACCACTCTACGAACCTTGCTTGTTCCTGTTGGTTTTGCTGTAGAAGGGATGGTGGAAGGGGTGGGAAAGAGAAGAGGGGAGTGTTTGCTCACTGCTTACTTTCCCCTTCCCCTCCTGTGTTGATTTCGTTGATGCTTATTTATACTTGGTGGCTTTTGTTTTGGGTGAAACTGAAAAAGTGGTGCTGAATCACTGCCGGCTTTGTTATGTTGCAGGAAATTCTATTTACATCCGCCAGTAAGTCGGCCCCCGTGTGCTGCGCAATCAGTCTTTGATTATGACTGTCTGTTCAAAACATAAATCAAAGGCAGAAATGCATGGAAGAACCAAGGGGCGGAGCTCCGTTCCTGTTTATTGAACATTCAACAAACGCAAAATCAGCAGTGTCTATCGATAATGCGTAACTAACTGCGGCAGTGGAGCAGTTGTCCCATGCAGGCACCCAGCCAGGATTTTGTTTCGGGGGGGGGGGAAGGGGGGGGGGAGGGAGACAAAATGTTGGGGGGGGGGCCCATGACAAAATGTTGCATGAGGGGGAGGGAGGAGAGGAGGCCCCAGCAGAATAGAAGATTTGGGGGGGGGGGCCTGGGCCCCATGGGCCTCCCCATGGCTACGTGCCTGGTCCCATGCCACGTGGTTCGCAAAGGGCTAGGCCTGATCCACAAGCCGACACTTGTTGCACCCGTGGCATTGCGCGACCTTGCACTTGCCCAAGTCGTACGCTGACGTCTAAGGGAGCGAAGTGGCCACACCCCCCGGTGCGCCATCTTTTATCAGCGATCTGTGGGGAGGTTTCTCCCAGTCCACCGCCAGAGGCGACGAAGTGCCCTCTTTTGATCTGGAGGGCAAATGGAGGTCAAGAGGCGACTTGGCTCTTTCCAATTGCCCCGTGAGCACGAAGCCAGGGAATCTGGCGCATTGTGAAATCGTGAAGCACCCAATGCGAAGAGTGGACGTTAGGATTTTGCAAACATTGAGATTGGTCTAGGCGTTTTCCCCATTGAGAGTGCTTCTTACCCACCACTGGTGCATTGCTGAGAAGCAAGACCCGCTTAGCTCGCTTTGCCGCTGCACAGCCTCACGCTTAAGAGAAAAGCATAAAAAGCAAGAATCGAAAATTTTGTGAATGTTGACATCTACGTTGCAGTAAAAGCTCCGAAGTTAAAACTGTGGTAATTATACAATATTTTACGGTTATATCCCGAGTCATTGTCCATCCCCGAGTCATCGCCTACCCCACTTTTTGGGCGGATATTGATTTCCAAAAAAAAAATCCAAGTAATCACCCACGCCTACAAATACCCCAGCAGCAAACTCCACGATCCACGAACATTCACCCTACCCGAATGATGTGGCTACGAACCTTGCTGTTGGAGGACGTCCGTGACAAAGTAAAATGAAGGAGGGAAGACACTTCTCATTGTTTACGCATTTCCTACCCGATATCCGCAACCCCGAAGTCATAGTACGTGCTTGCGAAAGAAAAACAATGGGGATCACAGAATGAAACTTTGTTTTGATGACAAAAATGTTTGTCCGGACAAAATACAAAGTTGGAAAGATAACATAAGCAGTCACCATTCAGGTATTGTGAGGTCAGAGGATGACCCACATCCTGGAATATAACCGCGGAGTGTAAGGTCAAACTCCGTCTCCACCGCAGTAAGGTCACAGCAAACCAGGTCTTTCTCCTGGAACGTCGTGACCGCGGTTAATAAGGTTGTGCTATATTTAAGACAAAGCCAACAGGTAAATAAAGATTTGCTGGAACGCTGCACACTGACGTTTGTAGAGCATCCCATTTTGAGTTCCGTGTTCGTGGTGCCGTCCACGCCATTTAGCAGCGCCGTTTCAACCCGCATTGATAGCACGCCGTGCATGGATGTATGCACCAAACAAGAAAGTTGGCAGTGCCCTTAAAGGGGTACTCCGGCAATATTTTGAGCAACCCCACCTAACTATATTTTGAAAATCGCCGTCTTTTACTATTTCCGGTATGCTATTCAGTATCGCGAAATTCAAGAGTTATTGTAAAATCGGCAAATGAAAATGACGCTAAGACTAAGATGCGAATAAACCCGTGCTTTTCATTGCCGTGACGTCACGGGATGGCAGGCTTGTGGTTCAAGCGGGCGGTCTAGAAATGAACTATGCCGAGCATTTGTTTTGTGCTGCTGCGCGGAAGCTGGAGCAACCTTCCAAAGCATTCATTTGCTTTGCTTCCCATGATGTCACTTTTTCAATGTTGCCAGTAGAGCTTTTCACTTTGAAAAACACGATGAGGACCAAAATTGTAAATCCTATAACTTTGCAAGAAAAAGGTATTTTGGCCAAATATTTGGGTTACTATTTCAGCTATCTTTGTTGGTGTGTTTAGCAAGTTTTTAAGCAAATCGGGGACTATGAAGAAAACGTCGGAGCACCCTTTTATGAAACCAAAAAAGAAAGATGTTTTTAAGGATCACTCGAAAAGTACACTTTTTTGGCCAAAGCCGGAACATTAGAACAGGAAGGATGCAACGAACCAAACGACCAGGAATCCAACACAAAGTGAACTGATCTTGATAAAACTTAAAATTGGACAAAAGCAACCCAAGACCTACTAGCTGCAATAAAACACTTGGCCTAATGTGCAAAGGCACCAAATTTGTTGGAACTTTCTCTGTTCTGTATCTAATGTGAGGGATGACTTATTTACTGCATTCCCATGATTCATGATTGTTATAGATTTTTTTATCAAACGTTTCCGGTCATCTTTTTTTGTTAGGACAATTGTGGTTGAGTCCCAGTTAGGTAGACAATTATTGCATTCAACTACATGTTTTGACACTTCCGAATATGGATCTTTGTTTTTGACACAACGTTTGTGTTCGGTGAGACAATTGTTTATACAGCTCTTCGTCTGTCCTATGTAGCTTAATCAGCAATCAAACGGGATCCTATATACTATTGACATGCAACTGACCTCTTTTTTCCTGTTTTTCTTAGTGCAACCAGCTCTGACGGAAGCAAACGGAGTCATTCGATTCAGTCTGTAATCATTGCTGAATACAGTTCTAATACCATACTTGTTCCCAATAGATCTAAGATTATGCGACACCTGCTGAAAAAACGGAGGAACCACATGCTTTATGGGTTTAAGAACACTTTGGCACTTTTTCTTGACAGAGATGAGAAAAAACAACTGATTGAAAACGTAATCATGAGGGTACCCAGTGGTTTTAAAACGGTCTAACAGGCACTTAAGAGCAGCACTTGAGAGCAGACCCAATAAAGTGGGAACATGATTTTTTCAGAGCACCATTGGCTGAATTGCGAACAATGCCAGCCTTTACATGTTTTGAGTGACATGGGATACAGAACAGAGAAATGCGCCTCCTTTTTTTGAAAAATATGGTCATCCGTTCGAAATATCGTTGTATGAGTGATGTTTTGGAGTTTGTAGCATCCTGTTGCACGCTTTCGCCGCCGTGTTTTGTGGAATCCAGATTTTGGTTCAGCATCCCTTAAAAGGCACTGCCAATGTAAACAGTGTTAAAAAAAAAAAAAATATATATATATATATATATATATATATATTGTGTAAAGGAGGCTATTACATCTCAGTTCTATTGTAAAGCTTGCTTTGTTTTTGTTTTATAAATGAGGTCACTGCTTCTCAGTTCTATTGTGAAGGTTGCTTTGTTGTGCTGTTTGTGGCACGGGATTCCCCATTTCTCCCTCTCTCCCTCTCACTCGTCTCTAGTGTTTTGTGTAGGATTTGATACCTACATAAGCCCTTTCGTTGTCAAATAAATTTCAGCTGTGTTTAAGACTTTGTGTTTGTCCATCCCTTCTCGTCCCAGTCTTGGGTTTTTTTAGTAAAATGTTTAGCTTAGAATTGGACAAGTGGAAGCACGGCAACAACCTTCAGAAGTTCAGCTGGACTCTTTGTTAAAGTGTAACAATAGTGAAAGGCATAAAAAAAGCTATTAGATTCTAAAAGATTTGACCACCATTTGGTTCGAATTCACTCTCAACTTAAAATCTCACAAGTTTAGTATGACTTTTGTTTAAAAGAGGCATAAAAAACTATTAGATTCTAAAATATTTGACCACCATTTGGTTCGAATTCCCTTCCAACTTAAAATACACTGTTTGCGCAGGCCTAGTGGATACTGAATAAAAATGCAGCACATTGGTAGAACTGTAGGGAGAGGGTGAGGAGTGCTCATTTAGAGCATCTTGGGGGGACCTTGCTGCATGTCTGACTACTTTCAGTAACAACCACTTCGTTATAATTGCTTGCTTTAGTTGCTTCCTTTTTGGTTTAATAATTGTCATACCGTGTAGGGTGAGTGTACCTGGACGAGGTCCTAACTTTAATACTGCAGAACCTCATTGACATCACTATGCTGGCTGTTACGTTCCCAAATGCTTATCCCGCAGAACACCCATATGTTTGTGTTTGGGGTCTGGTCCATGCCTCAGCAGCTGCCTGGTTCGGGTTGGTGAAAGATCCTTGGGCTAAGGGTGCAGGTGCCCGTAGTGTTTGACGTTTTTCCTCATGCGCTTGTCTCTGTCACCCAGATGACTGGCAGGAGAGGGCGCGTGGTGAGCACGGCCAAAGGCACCGTCCACTACGAACCGAGGTCAGAGGTGGACGTGCCCCTGAAGACGCTCAATCTCACGGAGAAGCAGCGGTTCATGGACGGAGAGAAGGTGCAGAAACTTTGGCTTTGCCACTTCACGTCTTTGGCAGTTCTTGAGAAGGTTGTTTGCCCCTGTAAACTTCAAAGGGGCCGTGCAACGATATCGGATTGGTATGTTCCTCACTTCACACAAGCAGCTGGCACCAGTGTGGCCCAAGTATGCTCACACGGTATGCCACTGACCTGGAAGTTTGTTGGTCGTGATGTAATTTTGTATAAAAAAGTTCAATCTCTCCTTTGCAAGACTTGATGTTGTGTTGTTGTGTAGTGATGACAGTGTTCAGAAATTCTTGGGCATTACCTCATGATGATGGTGGTCAAATGCGGCGTGTAGATGGGACACTTGCACATGCGTGAGCGCTTGATTTGGGTTTGTGACGACCAGTGCCTCAACGAGCGTTCAAGTAGTGACTTTGTCTAATCGCTACTGTGACAGGGACGGCCAAACCCTAACAATACGTTTGGAAACCAACACGTGCCTTGTGCTTACCCAATACCCATGCGTGGCCATGATGACCATTGGCCGCATATAAATGGCTCCAAATCATCTGACTGCGAGTTGAGCAAGCGAATGCGGTTTGTCTCTTTAATGTTTTCTGTGACTGCCATTTTCTGAAGTGGAAATCTAATGCGTGTTTTGTAGCTCATGGAAAGTAAGTTTTGTAGCTTATGAACAGCATGGACCGTAGCGCAGTGTCTCTATCTTCTAAGATATTGAGGTGGGCTAGTTGGATATGCATGATGTAAAAATTAAATAGCGCAAAGGTTAGACAAAGGACAGAGCATGTAGACAGGACAAGATCGAGAAGTACCGTGCACCGTCAAACACAAGCAATTATATGTACCTTGCCAAAGCCAGGTAATTTATGAAATACCGTTCACTTGTGGCAAGATATACGTCGGGCAGACAGGCCGCTGCGTCAACACCAGGTTGCGGGAACACGCCACCTCACTCAAATCAACTCCAGCGGGACATCTAGCAGTACATGTTAGAGACTGTAAATGCCAACCGATCCTGACAAAAACGAAAATCCTACGACGGTTCCGCGATAAAACTTCACGAGAAATCTACGAGGCCTTAACCATAAAAGACAAGGAAGACGCCTGTGTGAGTGCACCTTCAGTGGTATTAACTGAAAAAGAATTAACTTACCTTCGGTGGCCAACTTGAGGTTGATTCAGCGGGAATTTCTAGTCTTCTCAACTTCTTCTTTGTTTAAGCTAGTCTTTTTCTTAATTTCAATATATTCCCAGGAATTAATTTAGTTACGCAGCTCCCCTTTCTTTCATTTTCTTCTCTTTTCTTTTATTCATTCTTGTATATACCTTTCACTTTTACCTTTTTCCTTTTATTATAAATCTTCTTTCTTCCTTTTTCGACGTATTTCTATGCTGCTTCCTTCTCTTCTTTTCTATTAAAACGCCAGTTGTGAGTTAGCACTTGTCCTGTCTACATGTTCTGTCCTTTGTCTAACCTTTGCGCTATTTAATTTTTACGTCTCTATCTTCCTTGTCTGTGTCTCATTGTGCTATCTAAATAATATGGACAGTAAGGATTAATTTTGAAAGGTATTTACTGAAAGTACAAGAATAGTTGCGCCGTCCTTTGAACCTTTGTTTTTTTCCTTTGGGCCATGTCCAGCTCATCGCCATCATTTCGGAAGCAGCGAGTTTAGGCATCTCACTTCATTCCGACCGCCGGGCGAAGAACCAGGCCCGCAGGGTCCACCTCACCCTCGAGCTGCCCTGGAGCGCCGACCGGGCGGTGCAACAGTTTGGTATGTTCACGGGAGACGCTACTCTACACAAACTGTCGGCGTGAAAATCTTTGCATCCCCGAAATGTAGTTTACACATTTAAAAAGAAAAAACAAAGAACGGATGGACAGATACGACTTGGGAGTTTTGCCTGTTTGTCTGTTTGTCCACGGGATCGGCAAAATTTTTCATAGTGCAGGTAACTTCGTTGTATGATTGAGGGCGAAAAATCGATCGTGCGAAACCGAATTCCTATCGCATATTAACGTTCCTACGCAACATTTGAGGTGTTTTAAGAAAAAGTATAGCACTAAATATAGTAAGAGCAACATGAGAAACTAGGTTTTTGTACGTTAGCAATTGGCTTATCAAAAGGGGGGTACGATGGCCGAGTCTGCTAGCACATAACAGCTCGGAGCACATGAAGCGAAAGGTCGCGCTGCAGAATCCAGGTATCTTGAGCTCAATTACCACTTATATTTATTTTTCTAAAATGAAAATTGTATTGGCGTGCGTTCATGTACTGATTATGGCATGATGCAATTTAAAGACACCACGTTAGCGGTCATACCACCAATGGAGCCGCTGGCAAAGTTTGTTATCTACAGCTGAGACACCAGGCCGTCCTTGCTGCAGGCTAATTTCCGGTTGTCCAAACACCTAGACAGCAAACTTAACTGACTTATAAAAATATGAATTGCTACGTTCACTAAACCACTGACCCTCGATCACGCAGCGGTTGATGCGCTCGCCGACTGTGTAAATTTGGCTTTTACTCAATCGGGCGGCGGCTTGCACTGCCATGTGTCATTTGGAAGGGCTCCCTAAGTGGCCGCACTGCTGTAGGAGCGGGTGCGGGAGCCGCGACAGCATTAGCGTAGTAGCACGGCAGAATCGGCCATGTACTTAGCACGCGACAGCTGCAGTAAGCGGCGCAGTGAGGAGTGAGGAGGGGGAGAGGCGCACATCCGAGCCGACTGTGCTCTTTTTCGTATCGGTTTGGCATAAAGAGGGGGGGGGGGGGGGGGCACGTTTTACTGTGCGGCTGTACTGATTTCGCTTTGATTTTGGCGTTACGGGTGGGGTCACAGATTGTGTCTCCTCGACTGCATATTATCGCTCCCGGGGGGAAGCAGTGTGGGTCTCATATTGAGCAATCTTGGATCCTGACGAAGATTGGCGCGTCGGTCGAACAGGTTCTAAGCAGTCTTGGGTAAGTTACTTTTAAAAAGTAATTCGTTACAGTTACTTTCAGAAAAAAGTAGCGAAGTTACCGTTACAGTTACCGCAACAAAAGAGTAACTAGTTACAGTTACTTTTAAAAAGTAACGACGTTACTTTTCAGTTACTTTTCTTTAACACATAAAAATTTAGGAAAAACTAGAAAATGCCCTTCACAAAGTTTTACTGCATAAAATTAAAACATATGTTCTTCTTTGTTCTCATCAGCATTCCTATCCTTGGTAGCACTAGCACATTGCTGGGTCATTGACGGTTGCGCTGGGTTCATAGAGTTCCTGGACATATTTCAGTTCATACCCGGCAAGCCAGAAACAAACCCCGTGCAAGCATCAGTAAATTTTGTCTTGACTGTTGGCATTATGTCGGAGCGGTGGCGCAAATCAAAATACGAAACATGCGCAGTGCCCTTCGCGTGTATCGTTGTTTCATGGTTGATTCACCCTATCAAAAAGCGTTTGCGCAGAAAAAAGAAAAACCGCAGCACAAAGAAGCGCTTGCGTAAAGATAACTCGACTTTGTTTTTCTTCATCAAATCTACATGTGGCTATATTCGGGTCGTGACTCGCGAGAAAGAACGCATTCAAAAGTTTGTGGAAGGCCAAATGGACAGTCGAAATGTCAGAACAGACAATTTGGAAAGTGCAAGGAATAGCTAGATTGTACTCGTTCAATGATATATTATTCATAAAAAAAACTGGAAAGTAACGACAAAAGTAACTTCGTAATAGAACTACAGTTACAAGTTACATTTGTAAAAAGTAACTCGTTACAGTTACAAGTTCCCAAAAAAGTAACAAAGTTACAGTAACGCGTTACTACCCAAGACTGGTTCTAAGACAGCATAAAAAATTTGCGACTGCCCGCAAAAATAAATTTTTTATATAAAGTCTAAGCTCATTACAAAAGACCTTGTTACAACAGACATTTGGATATAACATACCGATTTGTGAAGTTCGGTTGGTTTTCCTCTACCATAGATGCTATTGACTCAACTTCATATCTGCATACAACATACTTCTTTTATAGCAGACCGAAATCTTTGACAAAATCAGGGTCTGTTATAACGAGCTGTATATACTGTTAGTGCGGGCTCTTTTAAATGCGCCGACGTATATGCAAAATGAGAAAATGAATGTGCGCATTGCCCAAACAAAATGTAAAAAAAAGACAAAAGAGTTTTGGAGCGGAATGGCACGTATTCAATCTACGGTGTGAGCAAAACGAAATTATGCGCGAAAGCGAGCAGCGGAGGCGTGGTGTCGCCTCCGCGGTGCTGCTTTTGCTGCTCCCGCTGCACCGTGCATTCTCGGTTTTGGGTTCATATAATTTGTTAGTGTGCAGCCTTGTGTCTAGATGGCGTTATGGTGACTATGTTGCTGCATACAGGCTTTCTACGCAGCAACATTATAGTCATAGCATCATCTAGACACAAAGTTACGCACTAACAAAATATTTCAACCCAAAATCGAGAATGCGCGGTGCGGCGTCGGCGGAGGTGGCGCGGCGGCAGTTTCAAAAGTCATTGCTGCCGCAGTATTTCTGCTTTCTACACGCGTCGCCTAAGAGCAGCAATTTACATAAGATCTTTCACTTTTCACCTAGAAAATTTTTTATTGCCAATCATTTTTGTTTTGTAGGGCCGCGCAATTGTTTCGTTAAATAGAAATATTACTTAAACAGGAATTCGTTGTAGTGGTCAGAGAACCACATCACATAGGAGATTGGCTAGAACTTTATTTTACTTCAATAAATGGGTTTTGTAGTACAGGCGATTGTTATAAAAGCGTTTGACTGTATGACCAACCCGCTTATCCTGACTTTTAAATGTACACTATTGTAAGACGAGTATTTTTCTTTTCTTCCGAAGCATGGAAGTGGAACCCTGTTGATGTCTTCCTGGCTTACTGGTTGTTTTCTCGTTGAACTCTGATAGGTATATACATTCATGTCTGTTGTATCTCCCTGCCCAATTGTTATGTCCCGGAACTGCCGCCCGAGGCAGCTGATGCGACGCATTAGGCCGTCCTCTTTTCTTTGCTCCGGTCCCTTTCATTTTTGCTCCTGTGCAGTGCACTTTGCTTGAACGAGCCTGACCTTGAAGAAGGCTTCAAAGGCAGTGTCTAGTTACTTGCTGCATTCAGTAGGCGTTTTATTCTGTTTGGACTTGCTTGCAAACTTGGGCTTGTCTATTTGCAAAGGTCGGACGCACCGATCAAACCAGGTAAATGCCCCAGAATATGTGTTCCTCATCTCGGACTTGGCTGGAGAGCGGAGGTTTGCTTCCATTGTTGCCAAGCGTCTGGAAAGCCTGGTGAGTTGATTCAGTTGTGCGCATTCTTTTCTTGCTAGCTACCTTTCTGATTCAATGTCTTTATCTCTATCTGTGTTCTTCGTTTATTCCTACCCTCTTTTGTGTTGCTATCATGCTTGCTGTGGGAGCTCTCCTCTGACTGTCACATGTGAAGACAGATTGAGAGTGGTGAGGGGATCGATGGCCCGCGAGGCGTGGCCTTTATTCAATAACTCAAGATAATGCATATTTAGTCCCCTTTTTTTTTTCCTTAAAAAGGGACTGTAACCAGTCATGTCATATAACACCTGAGACTGTGGTGGAAGAGATTGGAAACTTTTAGTAGAAGGAACAAACACAGAAAGGGACGTCGAGATGTCCCTTTCTGTGTCGTTTCCTTCTACTAAAAAGTTTCCAATCTCTTCCACGACAGTCTCAGGTGTTATATGACATGATTAGCTATCACCATCTCGCCTGCACTCTCACTGTCTTTTCACTGTAACAAGGGTGTCTGCCAACATGGGAAACCAGGAATTGTCACGGGATTTGGCGAGTCTGGAAAAGTCAGGGAATTTCAACTCTAGTCAGTATTGACCAAGGAAATTGAGGATTCCTTTTTTTGAAAAATTTCTCGAAACCATATTGGCAGACACCAAGTTTTACCTCTTTGGTAGGTGTCCCAATTGAGCCCTTTCCTCTGCACTGATACAGCCTTATAAATCTGAAAGAAAAACAGAAGAAAAAAAAAATCGCTTGTTTGTGTTACAGCGTCGCACAGCTATAACTGTACCCTTATACTTCCCGTAAGACAGAAGTTGTACGCCTATTTATAGGTTTTCAATGCTTCCTGCTATTTTTCCCACAATCTCCGGGGGCTGTTGCCTAGTCTAAAATGAGCCGGCGTCTGGATGAAAGTGTTAGCCGTGCTTGTTGGTCAAGTGACTCGCTCCTGACGTCACCGTGTTTGTGGCATTGCAAAAACGTGCGAGGACACACTGTCAAGGCTGACGAGTGCGTCACTGGGTAACTTGGGCCTAGCCTCCATCGAATAACTTCGAATGGTGGCGTCGGTGACGATGCATGACTACAGCCCCTCTATACGGAAAAGGAATGACACTCTTCGGAGAATGCCGCCTGCTACTTTCAAGCTATCCAGGCGGCGCTGCCATCGTCTGGTAAATGCAAACAAGCCAGAAATAAAGAAAAGAGTGTGCGTGGAGGAGGAGGAATGCCTATGCTGCCGAAAGCGCAGCGTCACGGTTTTCGTCGTTTTGCTTTAAACATATTTGTTGCGGCCCATCCGGTTGAATGTAGGAGGTGTACACCCGGGTGCTTTTAGTAGCGTGTATCTGTTTGCGTGCCATTGAGCTTTTGACTGCGCTCTGACTGCGCTCTGACTCAAATTATAACTGACTATGGGAAGGCTGCCTGCTATCTTGGAGCGATCCGGTCGGTGCTACCGTCGATGCACAATTGCAACAGAGCAAAAAATAAGGATAAAAGAGAGTGCATGCTGGGGGAGCAACAAGAACAAGCTACCTTCATTATTCAGGGGCCTTATTCATAACGGTGCTCTCTGGGTCCTCTGTCAGGGCGCCCTCACTCATGGCGACAGGAGAGCCGGCGAGTCCAGGGATTTGTCCCGGTTCAACATCGACAACAGGGTAACATTCCTGCTGTCTTTTTCTCTGCATTGCACTGCTTGATTACGATGGGAAAGCGGGAGCAATCTATAGTAGCTTACTCATCTTCAAATTACACAAAAGGAGAGTTTCACCAGCTGTGATGCCACGAAGCCGAGCTGCCAGGAGTCAGAGGCAACCTCCTACGAAAGGGAATGGTTGTAGTGGAGTATACTATTGTCTTACCATGAAATTGTAATATCTGACAATTTTAAAGTAATGAGCACATAAGTGTGCACCTTAAAGAGCAACTTCGTTGTATTTTCAATATTAAGAAAATAATGCAATTCTTTTTAATATTGCCTTAAAAGACCATATGTGAAATATTTCAATCTAATTCCACCGAAAAGTTGATGAAACTGGCAAACCAAGTTTGGGGTACACGAAATTACCAGAATCTACTAATCCTAGTGGGTGAGGTGCGGCATAGCCAACAGAGCAGTCAATACCACCGTGTCGGTGTAGCCTAATCTTCAGAGGTGAGGTGAGGGTGAGCGAATTTTTGAACCCCGAAAATTCATGAGTGTGAGGGTGAGTGAGGACCATGACGACTGTGAGGTTGTGATTGGTGTGAGGGCCGTGACTACTGTGAGGGCTGTGAGGAGTCGAGGACTGCGAGTGCGTGAGAGCCAGGAGGGCGGCGAGTGCGTGAGGTTCAGTGAGGGTGAGTGAAAGGCTGAAGGTGACTGACTGTGAAGGCCCGTTCACACTCTTGCGACCGAGTATGACAGAGAGACGAGATCTCTTAAAACTTCTTAAATGTTTTTAGAATGAAGGAACACACTGGCATTGTGGCGCCATCTATGCGGTGACCCTGGAACTGCATTTCACAAGAGCGAAGGTTTTGCGGGATTTCCGAGGTCAAATGTGGGTAATACCCATAGAAAGGCTCGTTTATAACATTGACAAAAGTTTTTCGAGCCAAGAAAGAAAGGATAATGCGCGAGAAATAAAGAAAATATGCCAGACCGCCTAGTTTACACTGCTTCCCAATAGATGGTGCCAGTGTGTTCTCCGGTTTAAGAAGTTTTAAGGAACCCAGGTTTAAGAGGTCGCAAGAGTGTGAACGGGCCTTGAGGGTGAATGAGGGGCTGAGGATGGGTGGAGCTGTGAAGGTGAGGGTATGTGAGGGGCTGAGGTGAGTAAGGACGACCTAAAATGCTGATCTCTGCCCTGCAATACCTACATCATGCTCAGGGAGATTTGTTTGCATGTTGTGTACTTTTTCAGGCAAAGCCTAAGGGCAGAGCTATCAGCAGGCGCATGTGCTTGTTTGCTTCTGTGCGACAGTCGGTTTGCGCCATTGAGCTCGGCATACCTCTAAAAACCCGTCGCGACATATTTACGTGTGGTTTACTGAGCTTCACTTTCTACTAATGTTTTCAAAACAAGCCCTCAGGAAGTCTTTTTCTGTGCTAAAACACAAGCCGCGGCCACTGTAGTGCAGGCGTCGTTGAATGTAGCAGACCGCCTATCGTAGCAGTCAACACTTTCGCCTTTGCGCCGAGTTGCGCCCGGCCGCCTGGTAAGTCACGTCACGACTTGTACCATGTGGTTAGAGCATGGAGGTGATGACACAGAAGCAATGTTGCCTGCTGCATGCAAGGTTTCGGTTTCTGGAGAGCTTTAAATAAAGATTGCGCCAAAGATATTACTTTTTTTTTTAAAATGACCTAGAATTGTTTATTACTACCTCGGGATATACAATCAACGATTAAATCATATTTCTTATACTTTACCGGAGTTGCCCTTTAATGTCTCCATGCAATATATCTTTTTCTGGGTTTCAGTGTGCATAACCAGCCAGCTTGCTTGCATACTTTTTTAGGAAGAGTTTAGAGAAATAAAGCAAGCACTCAACTTTTACATCTACCGAAGATAAAATTGCCGTGGTTTATGGTTTGTGAGACAAAGACAGGGATAGTACTAGTATTTGAAGTCGGTCTATTGATCTAGAATATAGTTAATGGCCTGTCTGTCCCCAAGCACTTGATTGTTGCTGTTTTTGTTCTTTTTCTGTCATCAGTATGGTAACGAAGCTCTTCAGACCATGATGAGTGATCTGATGGAGGTGGAGACTTCACCCCTGATCCCTCCGCCGAAAGACTGGGAGGGCGACTTCTTTGCCGGTCAGTTCCCTTCTCCTTTTTGTGAAATGTTGGGGGTGGTTACTGAATGCCCATTTTTAAAAACACTTTGGAATCTCTGGATTTTGGGTCCCATTTGATTTGGCTGCAAATGACCGGTTGGTAGTGTCAGACAGAGCAGTTCAGCCAGTATTGACTGGGGTTCAGACAGGAGATGTATCGCAAGCTCAGATTATCCTCGCTGCAGCAAAGGTCACATCATACGGCGAACAAAACTGCTTCTAGGGAGACATTACCTGCTCTTTCTGGGGCATCATAGAAGTGACCTCGAAAGGCAACCCCCCTTTTTTCCCCTCGCTCCATTGAGTCTAAGCCCTCTCCAGTATTAGTACCTCTAAATTCAGCTGATATTCCCGATTGATAGAGAATGTAACTGCTTGCTGCATATCAGTGTAATCACCGTGGTTTGACAGGCACTCTGGCTGGCACTGAGGTGCACCCCCGTGGCCAGTAGGGGCTGAAACACCCGACCTGGCCTTTGTCTGCGTCTGCGGTCCCCAAAAGCTCTATTATCTCTCAATAATCAAATAGTCTGAAGTATGTGTTATAGTTTGAGGTGCGGGACAAGGAGGCGGCATCCCAGAACGAAGAACCAACATCCACTGGCTGACGTGACAGCTTGCCCGGTGATCTTATGCCAAGCTATGAAGACCTGCTTCAAACGGGGCTCGCATACTCGCTGGAGACAGGTGCCGTAGCACTACCAGAAAGAATGATGCTCACATGGCCGAGACGGAGGAAGTGGCTCCGTGCAGAGCCTGCTGAATAGAAGGGTCATGTCTGACTAGTGACAGTTCTCTCTATGGCTCTCCCCCCCGTTGAAGCGCTGTCTCTTTTTATTTGTATTATGACGTCGCATCAACAACCAGAAATATACTTGCGTTATCGCATGTAAATAAAAGACGAAAACATTCATTTCGCGTTGCGCCATCCTTTCTCAAGGAAACAAACAGCTCGAAACACTACAGTGTGGGACCCCAACTTCGCATTTCCTTCCTAGTTCGGACGACAGCCCTTTCGAAAACTGGCAGGTGTGCCAAAGAAGCATGAAGGACTGTTTCAGCTTATATTGTCTCCGATAGTATGTTTCAAGTTGTGTAGGAAAACAGAAGACTCTGAAGTGGTTTTTTTTGTGCATTCAAATAGTGGTTTTCAATTTTCCTCCTTCCAGACTGCAGGAAAGCCCTTGTTGGCGTGGGTCTAGTGAATGAAAACAAACTGACCAAGATGCAGATTCTGGACAAAGGTATAGCCAAATTGCTGTTCTTTCACTGAGTATACTTCGTTTCACCAACACTTGGCAAACGGCAAAGGCTACGGACCCAGTGAGCCAATCGGCGCGTGTGAGCGAGGCGCGTGATGACGTATCATTGAGTGTATTACTTTTGTGGAGGGCCGTCACTTGCTTTACTCTGTCGCTCTGATTGGCTCGATGGGGGCCTTTGCGTTTGCTCTTTGCCAAGCTATGAAGTACAGATGGGATTGAGTTACTCCACCATGCAGGACTTTTGTGTCATCCTGCGTTTTACTGGTTCAATGTTTGTCATGCAAGTTTGCCTGTCATTTCGTTTTCTCAGATTACACCAACATGAGCCAGTTTCTGAACCGCATCCTTGGCATCCCCGTGGAGCTACAGAACGCCATGTTCAAGTACTTTACGGACACCCTAGATGCCATCGTCTCGGAGGCCAAAAGGGCTGGCCACTACGACCTGGGCATTCTGGGTGAGGTCTCTTTGCACACTTCCATAGTCTTGCCGCAGGGCTGTGCTCGTCGAGCGTAGCTGCAGAGTTGCCCTTGCCCTCTTGTTTTGGCAGTACTGCAGGGACTGTGAAAAGCTTCCGATGCAGTTGTAGATTGACAACACTCCTAATTCCCGGGGCTATAAGAAGAGTTCTTTGTGAAAGTTGCAAAAATTAAGGCGATGGGTTGGGACATTCAAAGTTGGTAGTCATGTGCCTACCAACTTTTGGTACTGTGAGCTGGAACAGTGTGACACAGTTCAGAATATAGGACAACAAAACTTGTACGGAGCTTGGGACATGAGAGTAGACATAGTAATGGCTTCATTGGTGGTGTGACTTAAAGTGCACCTAGTTAAATAAACCTTTCTCAAAAATCCGGAAGGACTGCACATGAAGTTCTGTACTCTCCTTGCCCTTTTGATATCTACAGCGTGACACTAAAGAGAGAGGGGAGGATAGCGCAGTTGCTCGCCTACCCTTGGCTGCTCGCCTGCGTTTCCTCCGTCTGCCACTAGCAATTCTGTACACATCGTTCCTGGCGTTCCTTTTGGCTACACAGACAGCGCTGCATGTTTTGCAATGGGTCTATTATAGATGTACAGTCGAACCCGGATATATCGAATCCAAAGGGGATTGTAAAATAGTTTGATATATCAATAATTTGGTACAAAAATATGTTAAATTAAGCTGGAGTTGAAATTTCCTGGCTTTTCTGCTAATACCAAAGGTCGCGACAAACGGGAGCTTGCCAAATAGAGCATCCAAGAGCTGCTAAATACAGTAGAGCGTAGTTGGTGGAGACCGCAAACACCGCTGCGCTTACTTGTGTGCCTGGCCAGGACCTCCACGCAGTATAAGCAACAAAACGTGAAAATAATAAAAAAAAAATGAAAGGAAAACAGGAAAACAAAACACACACAAAAAAAATCATAAAAAAAGTTAAGCTAGCAAAAAAAGACAACAAAAAAAGATAGGCAAAAAAAAAAAAGGGGGGGCAAAACAATAAGGACAAAAGAAAAAGGTAAACAAAGATAAGGCGTTCAAAGTGCGATTGCACAACTGTTGTTGTAGACAGAATCTACTTTCTAAAGACTTATTTTGCTCATTTTATTTTGGGACTAGGGAGTTGCGCAGCATCAGGAGTGTTCGGGTAAAGGGTGCAGGCTACCGTTCCAACAGTGGGCACTCCCTGCTCTCTCTTTGTGTACGCGTGCACATACCTCGGCAAACCTCACTCATGAGGGCCCCCACTCACCCTCACTCACCCTCATCCTCACAGGTGAGGTGAGGGTGAGTGAGTTTCTGAACCAGGAAAATTCATGAGTGTGAGGGTGAGTGAGGGCCGTGAGGGCCGTGAGGGCCGTGAGGGCCGTGAGGGCGGTGAGTGGCGTGAGGGCGGTGAGGGTGGTGAGGGCGGTGAGGGCCGGGAGGGCGGTGAGGGCAATGAGGGCCATGAGGGCGGTGAGTGCGTGAGGCCCCCTTCAGATCGAGCATCTTTCTCAGCAATTTTGGTGTTAATGGCGGGTTGTTCTCCAGCTTTCTCTAGATCGACACGAATTGCTGAGATCGGGTCCGGCTCGAAATAAGCAAGCAACTCGGAGCAATTCGAATACGTTTGAAGCGGCTGCATCCAATCAGGGGCGCATAATTTTCACGTGATACCTCGTGCCGGTGATTATGACACCGAAAGACTTGGTTCTGGTTTGAAATCGATCGTTTTTTGGAAATAAACTGTTTCAGAAAGGTGCATTAGCATTCTTAACGAGGTTTAAATGCATAAAAACTAGAGGTGTGCGAATATCAAAATCTTTCGAAGCGAATCGAATCGAATAATAAAGGTTACGAATCGAATCGAATCGAATATTTTCGAATACGAATAGTAGTTTTAAATAAGGATATATTTGAAAAGAAATATTTTCTATTTGATGTGAATTAAACAAGAATGCTTAATAAAAAACACAACTGGAATTTTTTTTTCAACAAACGTTTATGAAAAGGTTACTTTTATTGCAATAAGAAAAATGTCCCACATGTGACTGTTAAAAAAAAACAGATGAAGAAAGATCAGTCAGTAAAATACTATTCCTTGTTCGAGGTTAGAGAACGTAAATGAAAGTGCAAAAGTGAAGGCGTGTCGGCAAGCCACAACGCAGTCTGAGATCGCATCGCGGACGAAAGGAGGCACTTGAGCGTAAACGCAAGTACACAAGCGGTGCCAGGTCCGCAAGCCGCAATACGAAGTCGATGATTGCGTCTCTACTTTGTGCGATCTCTTTTTACGCTCGTGAACGCAACCACGTGAACGTAAACGGAAGTACACAAGCGGAGGCAGGTCGACAGGCCACAGCAGAGTTTCAGATTGCGCGATCGCGCTGCGCAACTGCACTGACTATGCACCATCTCTTTCCGTGTGCAATAGTTCAGTCCATAGAGGGCGCCACAAAGATGCAATAAATTAAGAATGTTTTTTTTTTTTCTTTTTTGGCGGGGGGAGGAAGTCTCACTTTTATCATTGAAAACGGGTAGAAATAAATAACAAAAGGAATACTGGCAAACTGATAAACCGGAAAATCAAGCGGAAAATAACACAAGCCAGATATCACCGATAGCCGAGGTGAGCTATATATCCATATCCGAATCCATAGCACCTTGGCTACTGTAGTCACTGTAGGTACGAAATCACGAATATATGGTTGTGCTACATTAAAAATGAATGTGGACAGGAACGTATACAGGACGTCTCGGGTGGACGCCCGAAATGTCGTGCGGTACGTCGCGACGATGCGTGTGCCGTTGCAAACCGTAGTCCTTCATCCTATCTATCGCAGCGTTTGCACCACAACCACTTAGCCAACTCTGCAATCCGGACCTCACGGCAAGAAAAGGACAGATCGCGCTACCGCGTGCAAATAACTTTCCAATCCTTCCTACAGAAAGAAAAAAAAAAAAAAAAAAAACTTAGGTTGGTTGTGTAGGTTTGCCAATCTCGAAACCATACTGCGCAGTCCAAAAACAAAACGGAGAACTCTACCGCAAGTTGACACTAATCAATGAGTTCCGCGTTATTCGTAGTTTTCGAAGTATTCGAAGAACTCGAATAGTTCGAACAGCGAAAGGGCGAAGCGAATCGAATCGAATAGCAAGCATTATTCGCGAAGTATTCGAAGTTTCGAATATTCGCACACCCCTAATAAAAACACGTTTATAACGCGTAATTGTGTCTAAATAGTGCAAGAAAAATAAAATTGTATGATGACGATGGCAAATTGCAGCAATTGGTTGCTGCGTGCGACCGCGGGCGGCCCATGTTGCTGGTGTTGCGACGTAAAGTTTCTGGGCAAAATCACCCCATCTGAAGCTGGCCTGAGTGGCGTGATGGTCATGAGTGCGTGAGGGGCGTGAGGGGTGTGAGTGCCGCAAGGGCGGTGAGGGGCGTGAGGGCGGTGAGTGGCGTGAGGGCGGTGAGTGGCGTGAGGGCTGTGAGGGCGGTGAGGGCGGTGAGTGGCGTGAGGGCTATGAGTGCGTGAGGGCCGTGAGGGCCGTGAGGGCCGTGAGGGCGGTGAGGGCTGTGAGGGCCGTGAGTGGCGTGAGGGCGGTGAGTGAGTGAGGGGCGTGAGGGCCGTGAGGGCGGTGAGGGGCGTGAGGGCGGTGAGGGCCGTGAGGTTCAGTGAGGGTGAGTGAAGGGCTGAAGGTGAGTGTGAGTGTGAGGGTGAGGGTGAGTGAGGGGCTGAAGGTGAGTGTAGCTGTGAGGGTGAGGGTGAGTGAGGGGCTTAGGTGAGTGTGGCTGTGAGGGTGAGGGTGAGTGAGGGCGACCTGAAATGCCGACCTCTGCGCGTGCATGCATGCCTTTCCCAATTTGCTTTGGCCATTCTCCAATTTTTTTTTACAGTTTATTGTTTTTTTTTTTACAACTGCTCAGCCTTTTCTGCTGTGTATCTTACCGTATGGTATGCTGGCTTGATGGTCTGCCAGCCCTGCAATGCAAGTGATGTGCTTGCCATTGGCACAATCAGATTGCGGGAAAAGCAACGGGTGGCCGGGCTTCGTTTTTTGTTCTCTGTATCGAGTGTCTCCGCCATGGGAGTTCGATACAAAAAGACAACGCTCCTAAGTATTATACGTGATTTTCAAGGGGATGTTTGGACTGTTTGATATAAACAATAACTCGGAGTACCCAAGTGTGATATAACCGGACTCGACTGTAGTCAGGAGCTGGACGTGGAAAGGCGAGATTTTGTGTCGCTAAGTGCCTCTACGTGTCAGACTCTGCACGTGCAACGAGCGAAGGTTTGACGTGGTGCACTTGGCGCAGACCTCGGCACTTCCGGAGACAATGTGCGTCGGGAGGAAGGGCGCACATTCGTCCGGTCGCACGCGACGGGTACTGCCAAGACGGAGTTGCACACTGTGGGTGTGGAGCGGGGCCTGGCCTTCGACGCTTCGCAGAAACTCTGGAAGGAGCTGCTGGGCACGGACGACGGCTACTATCTTTGCCACAAGGTAAGCCTGCGTTTCCTCTCCCTAGCTCATCTGATAATAAAAATTGGTAGACCAGAATGGTTGAAGTTTGGGCTCTGCAGCTTGGAAAAGTTGGCAAAGTTGGCGTCTTGCTTGAATATTTTTTGCCGACTGCCAGATGAATAGCGGAACTGTTAGCACTAACGGAGTAAGAGCTGGGGAGGCAGGTGAACCGACAAGGGATTAAACTGAAAAAAATCCGGAGGGGGGAATAAGAAATGGGAGCTGCGTTTTGAGACGGTGTCATATTTATTACCGTATTTACTCGAATCTAACGCGCACCTTTTTTCCGGGGAAATAGGTTCAAAAATCGCATGCGCGCTAGAATTGAGTGCGACCCAAAACTGCGCTACCGTATCGCCATCGACATTTTAAAATGGCCGCTCCATTACGCACTGAGAGGCTTAGAGCGTAGCCAGCGCTTATCTTAGTCGTATGTTTCTTGCGTTCGTATCAGCAGGGAAGTTCCCACTGCAAAGACACGCCGCGTTTACCATGATGCTGGATTGAAAAGAAAAGTGATATTGTGTGCGGAGAGCGATGGAAATCGGGCCACATCACATACGTTTAGTGTTCCAGAAACTTGCGTCGCTGCAGGAATTCGCCGGATGGGTGAAAGATGCGTGGTGCACGATCCCATCTGCCATATGGTTATCAAGGCCTTCAAGAAGTGCGGAATTTCTAACGCTATGGACGGCACCGAAGATGAAATGCTTTGGGCCGTTGACAGCGATAAGGAGTCGTCCGACAGCGATGACAAGTGATTCATACCGCACCACGGGCGCTGCCCCGGACCGGCGTCGTGATGACGACCTTGCTGGCGAGAGACAGCGCCGTTTATTTCATCGTAATATTGAAGCATTTGGAATAAACCTTCGTTGTTCCAAGTGAGAAAAAGTTTCATTTTTGTATCCAACCTACAAAATCTGGTGCGCGTAACAATCGAGGTCATCGCGTTTTTTTTTTATTCGGACCTTGAGAAATGGATGCGCGTTACAATCAAGGGCGCGTTAGATTCGAGTAAATACGGTAATGTGAAAGCATTAACTGTTTCATGGAGCGAGCTGACATCAGTCTGAAGCATGAAAACGGCACTTAGTTTCCTTTGGTTCCATTGGCTGGTGCGCGATGATGGGGCTCTCATTAACCGCTGCGCTTGTCAGTTTCCACGACCGCTCGCCCCATGGCGCTGCGTGTCCATCAGCACGGCGTTAACACGGAGCGTCCAAGGTCACCCCGTGCCCAGGGGTGCACACGCGCTGACCGACGACGAAAAGTATGCAACAGACGAAAAAGAGAGCGGACAAGCGGCTTGCATGCTTTCGCATTCACAACTCATAAGGAATGCTTAGTCAATCTTTTTTTTTTCTCTTTCTTTCTTCCTCGGTGTTTGGATTTTTTCAGTATGAGTGCTGATGATGTCCAATGGTATTGGCACCCTCAAATTTTGAGTGAATAACTGGCATGGCACAGGATAAATTGCCCCGCGTTGCACAGTTCACGGAGACTAACAAGCAGGCACTTGTCACACCCGTCGGTGACAACCGTCAAATCATCCTATTTGCACAACCTGCTGCCTATGCTCAGTCCTTTGCCAATATCAAGGGTAGAGAGGCTGTCTCTTCTGGGGCCCTACGCTACACGGTGGGATTAAGCGGAACCAAATGACCGGGACAACGTCGTCTGCTGCTATTGGTCAGCTCCTTTCCGCTGACCAATCGTAGCTGATGGCATCGTACCGGTCACTTGGTCCCGTTGTGCAGCATAGGGCCCCTGGTGTGTTGTATTTTATGTCGAATCAGTGGAGAGCTTTCTTCTCGTCCCACCAGGTGTGCTGAAACACATCTCTCTTGAGCCTTGCTTCAATGCATGCCACACTTTGGCTAAGGATTGTAAACGGACTACAATAGTCTGGATAGTTCTCTTTTAATCCACTCTGGTGACGTGACCATCCCATCGCATGTGGGTTCGTGGCGGCTATAGCTAACCGCCAAGCTGGCACATGCATAGGGAGATGAGTGCCCTCATGAATTCACAGGGCTTCGTAACATCAGGGTCAATCTTTCAACTTGAATTAAATTTGGAATAAAGGAGCCTAGCTACGGGCGTGAAAAAATGCTTCTGAAATGGATCGTGCGAAAAATTGAGACATGCACAACAATCCCCCCCCCCCCCCCCCAAAAAAAAAAATATATATACGTATATATATATTTACAGTGTCCTTTTTACTGTAAAAAATAAAGTAAGCATCGCAGAACACTTATTCTCCGCCCAAATGTAGCACTAGCAGTCCAATCCAGATGCCAAAGTTTCATAACCGTTACCTCATTCAAAAGTTAGAGTCGACTTGCCTTGATTCAACTTATAGTTTAATTCCACCCTGTTCAAATGCAGGGTGTCTACCAACCGGAAAACCGGGAATTCTCAGGGATTTCGATTAGTCTGGAAAATCTCAGGGAATTTGTGCTTCTGTCAGGAAATTTTTTTTTATTTTTAAAAGTGTTACAGATACACTCTCACAGTCCAAAATTCTTCAGATATCAATGGAATGGGCCAAACGTGCGGTCGAGCCCAGTTATATCACACCCGTGTATTTCGAATTATTGTTTATATGAAACAGGCCAAACATCCACTAGAAAATCACATTGTTGTTTTTTTGTATTGAATGCCCATAACTCCCACGGCAGGGACACTCGATGTAGCGAATGAAGACAAAGCACGGCCCTCCTTCGCTTCTCTCAGGGTCGGATTGCGCCGGCGGGGAGCACATAGCTCGGGTTGCGGGGCTGGCAGACCACCAAGCCAGCATACGCGCACGCGGGGATACGCAGCGAAAAAGGAATTGTAAAAAAAAAAAAAAAGAAGAAAGAAAAGCAACTAATAAAACAAAAAAAGTGGAGGATGGCAAAAGCAAGGGAAAGGGCACCCACGTGCGTAGGGAGGGCGGGGAGTGCCCGCTGTTGGAACGGTTGCATGCGCTCTTTTCCCCGAACACCGCTCCTTAGCCCCAAAATAAAGTAAACAAAAAAAAAAAAAAGATTTTGTCAAGTGGAGTGTGTTAACAAGAAGGGTTGAGCGATCACTCTTTGAATGCCTTATCCTTGTTTACCTTTTTCTTTTTTCCCGTTATTGCTCCCATTTTTCTTTTAGAGCGCAGCTCTTAGGTGCCCGTTTCCGTCTTGAGCTGTGTCGCCGTCGGCGTAACCGTGAGGTCACGTGACCGCCCCCTGAGGTTACGTGACCCCCCTGAGGTCACATGACCTCACGGGGGGGGGTCATGTAAACCTCAGTTTACTTTTTTTATATTTTATTCGCTATGAATTTTACTAACCACTCCGTTCTGTTTTCTTTTTGAATCTGATAAAAGTTACTCCTTACCATTAAAACTGTATTATGTCGTTTTTTTTATTTTATAACATGCTTTTTAGAGAGTGACAGCATCTGGCGACATGGTGTCAGCCCATCTTTACCTAAAACAAAGTTCTGTGACACTCAGGGAATTTCACAAAAGTACTCAGGGAAAACCTGGAAAACTCAGGGAATTTGAAAATGTCAACTTGGTAGACACCCTGAAAGGTCCTGGCCAAAGCCCATACATTTCTATAGAAAAAGAACTAGTAGTTATTTCAGTCTTGAAATATAAAATATATGTTAATTCGACCTAGAAAGAACTGGCGGTGGGCAAATTACAAAGCATGATTGGCAGTGCTTGATGCACAAAGACAGGCCTTTATTTTTTTTCTGAATTATGCGGTGGGCAAGTTATAAGCCTGATCGGCCGAGCCCGTTGGCAAAAAAAAAAAAAAAAAGTTTTCAAATTTCGAAGCATGCTCCGAATTGCAAAAAAAGAAAAAGAGAGCACATGTTGACACACGGGATACGACCAAGTGTAAAAAAAAAAAAACAATTGCAACACTGCAGTGGAGCAGCGTGCGCTGCTCCGCAGCGGTGTTGTAGTGGTTGCCGGCGGCGGCGGCGCTCACGTACACAACTAAAACAACCATAGCAACACTGCTGCGGAACAGCGAGTGCTGTTTTGCAGTGGTGTTGCAATGGCGTCGATGGCGCTGGCTGCCGGTCTCCGCTGCTGCACCAAACGTACGATAGACATACACGGCCACTGCCACCGTTGTGCGGTGGCGTGCAGCGGCTCACTATAAAAATGTTAGCCAACCTGATGTAAAGCGCTGGATATTGAGAATTTTGCACGCATCTTTTAATTCGGTTTTCGGATAATTTGACCCAATTTCGCATGTCCCGTCAAGGTCGAATTAATGGAAGTCGACTATATAAGCGATGCTCTGAAAATTGCAATGGGAAATCGGGACCCGTTTTTAATAACTGGAACCATCCAGCTCTACGTATTTGAGGGTTCCGTCGACCGCCATTTTCCCTCTGAAAATTTCAGAAAATCAGCTACCTTAAAATTTGGTACGAACGCCCACCCAAAGTGAAGAGATAAATGTTAAAAAACATGGGATGGGCTACCTTTGGGGATGCCATAGCAAAATATCAAAAATTAGTGATGAAAACCTGGGCACCAGCTACAAACCACATGACGCGGGAACTGATACCGCAGATCGCAGACACTACAAATTCGTGTTTCACGATATGATAAACACGCTGGAATTCGCTACAAACTCCTGTGTCACGGGAGAAGATACAGCAGGTTGTGGATGCAGCAGATTTGTGTTCCACTATCTGAAGGACCTGCAGAAACCCGCCGAGAACTGTCATCTCACGGGAATAAATACCACAGATCGTGGACGCAGCAGAATTGCATTCAACAATGCAGTTCACCGTTTGGCAAATATGTGCTGCCACCTAGACACATGACTGGGTTCGAGACTAAGTGGCTAGAAAACGATGGACGCAAGGCCTCTCCCACCCGTTCGACAGCCAAAACGTCAGCTACATCCTGTTTGCCTATTGAGCCCCTGTGACCTAGATAGGGCACCCCCAACCTCACTTTTGACCCCATCGTGGGTTATTTTCAATCCCGTAGTTTACTGAAAGAAACAATCTTCCCTATTTGCTCGGCCAGAAGGAAGAGAGAGAGGGTACCAATCCCATTTACCTTTGAACCAGTATTTCTGCAAAAAGTATATTTTATACACGCGGGAACAACTCGCGTGTTATGGGAATCGATAACGCGCGCGCAGATCGCAGACAAAAACGTGGGAGTCGACTACAAACTCGCATGTCACGGGAACGGATACCGCAGATCGTGGACGCAGCAGATTTGCATTTCACGATGCAATATACACGCGGGAACAACTCGCGTGTTACGTAAGTCAATATTGCGCGCGCAGATTGCAAACAAAAACGCGGGAACCCGCTATGAACTCGCTCACCAGGCGTACCGGTACTGCCGATCGCGCGGTTGATGTGCTTCTGGTCAGACATTGCGCGACGTCCGATAGAAATCGGGGGGTGGGTAGTGTTTCGGAATATTCACGTTACATATACTTAGCCAGAAATATGGGTTCGGCGATCTCTCGAGGGAGGGCATTCTTACGGAATTTTACGGTGTAACTTTTTAATAAGATAATGGTTCACACTGAAACTTCGGCATCTAATTCGGACCTTTAGTGCTACATACCAAGGTGGAGAATGAGCGTTCGGCGATGCAGTTTATTTTTGTGGTGAAAAAAATCCCTAAAAAGTGTTTCTTAATCGTATAAAAAAAAATATTGTATGTGGAAGATTTTTTTCTTTTTCTTTGTTTTCTTTTTTGCAGCCATGGTCGTCGACGGGATTAGAATGGCAGAGAGGTCTTTCAATAGTCCCGCCTCCTGCATGAGCTACCTACCATTGATAATACTGTGAGGTCCCGTCGGCTTCGAGTGTGCACACGCAACCAAAGCACGGCAGAAGGCAACGAGCACGTGCTCGAGGCTGGGCTGGCAAAAGAGACGCCCTGCCGTTCTCATCTTTTGAGTCACTATATTTTTTTCTTTTACTTCTATTCGTTTGGTGTCATTATCTCGGCGTTCTGGCCAACTCCAGGCGCGCAATGGGAAGAGGGCGGCGGTGCTGGCGGTGTGCGACGAGGTCCCGTGCTCCAAGGGGGAGGAGCCGCTTGTCCGGCTCTACAAGCCCCACACGGGCCTGCAGGTTCAGCACCTCAGCCTTGCGTGGCTCAAGAGCAAGTTCAGAAAGGTGAGCGTCCCCCTTGGCGAGCTGCCCAACCTTCCGTTTACGCGCGTCGTGCATTGACTCGTGAAGATGTGCGGAATTGCGTTGTTTGCCAAGCTGGTTTCGATTGATAACTGGAGGCAGGGAAAAGGCCTGCAGAGACAGACTTTTTCACACCACCTTATTGATAGTGTACTTTGTAACCATGTATCTCAAAGGTCACTCCCGACGAAGCTGAGCCCCACTGGAAAGAACAGTATGAGTCATCGGAGAATACCTGCAGCCACGTCTACTGGTAAGCACCGGACATTTTTTGTTTGCATATTTTTCTTACTTGTTCACCTTTTTTATAAGGGTTGTCTGCGAAAGTGTATTTGCCAGTTCTCATACTTTGTTTGACACCCTAGAACGGTGGCTCCCAATGCCGGTGTTTGGGGGCTTCCCTCTGGACTGGCAGAAGGGATGGCAGACCAGAGGGGACAATTACAATGACAGCTGGGTAAATGAAGTAAACTAATTGCGTGCAAACCAACTTTGAAGCTCTAAAATGGAATATAATTGACTCTATTTACTCGGTGCACATGGTTTAGTCTATCTAGCTTTGTGGGAAAGCCAGCTTCAATAAAAAATGTCAAAAGTTTTACTGCTCGGCTTGACTGACGGTTGAGGGCTCTGGGGACCCCAAGGAGGCCTTCAGGGACCCCAAAGGGTCAGCGAACCCCCATTTGAGAACCACTGCTCTAGGAAATATGATGTCTCATTAGACGGTGTTTATCTGCCCAGCCCGTTTTAAAGGGCAACTCCGCTCCATTCGTGAAATTTCGGGATAATGAGTGGTTTCACATTAAAAAGCAATGAAAGGCACTACGTCATTTGCTTCACGAAAAATTGGACATATATTGTTAAATCTTACTTTAAACATCAGCAGAAATCGAAACCGAAACTTCGGCTTTGTCTGGCAACACTGGCCACAGGCCTCCAAAAACATGACTATCACGTGGTATGAGATGTCACGTGATCCACTACGGGCCACCGTTGGGGCGGGCGTTTGCCAGGTGCAAGTGTCGTCTGCACCGCACTCTTCACCTTGTTTTGGTGTCTACGACATTTGATGACGTCTGCACAACTGCAACATCAGTCTGCATACGTAGTATGAACAAAACTCGGGAGAGACGATAATCACAAACGGTGGGACGATGACGGCGGTTGTGGCGCAGGAGAAGTAATGGCGGGACGGCCAGATGGCTCCCAAGAAGCGCGTTGCGCAGTCACATTACGCCGATCACATGGACACCGCTGAGCGCCAAGAGGAAATATTGCTGACGTTACCCGTTATGCTTGCCCAGAGAAAGAAAAACAAGCAAAAGGGTGCAATGATGATGACGTTTAGCTTAATGTTGGCTACACCAACGCCACAGCCTTGACTGCACTGTTGGTTGTGCCTCGATTCGCCCGCTAGAGTCAGCCGATTTCGGCAACTTGGCGCTTTGCAAACTTTGCTGGACCGTTTAAGAAACATTTAGACAGAACTAGGTCGTAATATTTGACGTGTGGTCTTCCTAGGTGATACTGAAAAGGACTGCATTGTTTTTTTAAAAACAAAAATGAAGCGGATTTGCCCTTTAAAGTTTCTAAACACCAGCCGACTGTTTTCCATGCTCAGACGTTCCTCTAAATCCTCGGGGAAAGAAGATGTAAGGAGGGAAGGAGCAAAGGGGCTGCAACCGTCTCTGTCGCTCATGACATCCATATGGAAGCTTTTTCTCAAAGCGGATACGGACCGCAAAGTCGTTTTGGTGTCTGCATTGGTTAGCAGTAGTTTCTGTGCGACAATATAAAAAGCCAGCAGCTGTGTCGCCATTGAAGTGTTCACTGTGCATGCTTGCTCCAGCAGTGAGGCTTAGCTGCTGCTGAGGCAGTTTGCCCGATGCGGTCTGCTTTTCTTTGTTCAGTATGTTGCAAAATCAAGCATTTTTTGGTGGTTTCCATTGGCCAGTGTGAAAGTGCTGTGGTCATCACCATAAATGTTACAGTAGAGTCTCATTAATTCAAACTCCAGGAAGCCACAAATTTTGCTTGAATTATCAGAAGTTTGAATTATCAGAAATTCATCTAAATATGATGCAAGATAAAATTATGATTTGCCATATGAATGGCTACTCATACAAAGCAAATATTTGATTAGTATTTCCTCTACATGGGCCTACTGATCATAAGCAGGTATGCCACACATGAAACATATGTGAAATGTATGACATAAGTTTATTTATCCCTTAGAAATGTTGTTTATCGTGGACTGCTTAGACAGCACATGACAACTCAAAACAGAATTAAGCTTGTTCATCAGGCTTAGAGGTTGTCTGGAGTATGAAGCAGGGGACACATGACCGACGAAAATGGGCACTGCGTGGCAGTTTTCATAGCAGTTTTCACAGCGGCATGGCATAGTGGACCTAAGCCATGCCGCCATGTCACAGCGTCCGCGCAAGTTGCTATGGAAATTTTTTGCGTGGTGTCCGTTTTCATACCTCGTGTGCTCGCATGAGCCCCGTTGATTGCGCTTCTCAACGAGCACCGGTGCACTGTGGAGAAGCAACACCTACGGAAGCAAGCTCCACAGGTGTTTCCTCTGCAGTGCACCAGTGCTTGGAAATAAGCGTACTCAATGGGGCTGAGAGAACGGAAAGTATGGATTACATGAAAACGCCGTTTGAATTAAGCTGCCTATGAATACATTAGAAACAGTGGGACAACCAAAATTTTGAAATTTGTTTAGATTAACTAATATAAATATCCAAGTTCGAATTATTGCGAGCCTACTGTAATTTGGTGGGATAGGTCCAGGCAGGGCCGTACCCAGAAAAAAATTTTGGGGGGGGTTTTCGGGGACAACGGCGGCCATTTTGAAAGTGTCTATTGTCTTATTTTCGCCTATGAATCATGTGCATCAGTGGCATATAATGGAGAGTTACAGCAAACCGGAGAACCGGTCCTGGTTTGGTACCCGGTAGCAGACCGGCGCCACTGCGCGTGCGCAGAGGTGGAGATTAAAATCGGCTGGCTGCCAGTGCACCGACCAGGGCCGTACCCAGAAAAAAATTTCGGGGGGGGGTCAGAACCCCCTAACCCCCCCCCCCCCTGGTTACGGCCCTGGGTCCAGGTACTGGTTTCTTCCCTGTTAAAAACAACATGACTGTTGCTGCAAAGCCAGCAGTGTATGGTTGTTGATATGGTTGCTTAGCAGCAACTTCATAAAGCCAACTTATAATGTTGTTGCTTCGTCATTAAATGTGTGTGAGGTTGTAACCTCCCACATATTCAATGAAGAAGCATCAACGAAGTTGCTCTTGATTTTTTGCATCACTATGAGGAACAGAATAGGTGCGAGTGGCTTAGCATGTTTCAACAGTATCTCTGAGCCTTCTTGGGCACCACTTATAGACCTTTTCACCCTCCGCCGCATGGGCGCTGCCATCTTGGAATCACGTGATGCGGCCGCCATTAGGTTGCTTCAACTTGATGCTCCGCTCTCCCGTCCGCGCATTGGCGGATGCGTTGAATTCGTGCTTTTCGTCGCGTTTCACCCCGTCTCTTGCCTTACTCCGTAAAGTGTCGTTCGATACTTATACCTACCATGCAATTGCATTACATCATTATGCGGCCAACTTCTGTAGTTAATTTTGTAACACGTACGTTTTGAATATTTTTTACCGTCGGCGTGCGGGATACGTGTGAAGAAGCTTTATAGGAACCGGAATCAGCGTTAGCACTTGCACACATTGAATACATATATGACTTGAAGAAAGCCTCGAGGGTTCAAATACTATTAACTTATGAGAACTGAGGTTTGGTTACTAATAAGGGCGGAACATTTGGAATAGGAAGCCCAATGCAATTATATATATGAGTGCGCATTGGTGGCAAGGAAGGAAACAAAAACACTCAACGTAATTAGCCACGTGTTTTTCTAGAAATCATGGTGTTTTGTAGTTACAACAGATCGAAAACAGCTTCTTTTGATTACACTAGGGAACTTGTGGACAAGACGAGGGAAAAAACGTTTAGTTTGAATTATTTTTTATGCTAGAAATAATAGTACCTTAACATTAGGCAACTTGTTTGTTTGCAATATCACACTTATATCGGTTTTACGTTCTTAATCGCGTGTGTGATATAAGCATTCGCTTTATCGGTTTATTTATGAATTCCACGGAATTGTATATCGTGCTTGGTCCCATGTCCATAGTCTTTCAGTTGCTTAAGTCATTTTTTAATATAATCCTGCAGTTTCAATTAATTTATTTCAACACAAATATTTTTGACTCCCCGCGTAAGAAACTGTCACAGACAGCTTGATAGTGCCTATGATTCACAAAATGTGAGGCCGAAAAGAATCCTTCTGCATGAAAATCCCCTGAGTGCAGCCGGTTGTTGACGGCGAATAGGGAGTTACTTTCGGTAGCTGGCGACGTCGAAATGTGCAAAGTGTATCGTTTCAAGTCAGTGAACAGCTTTCTACACAGGTCCATTCGGTGGCGCCTGGCGTTCGACTTCAGCCAAACTTATCGGAGATCATTTCCTTTGTGCTCTACAATTTCATTCGCCAAATTTTACGGAAGATGAATATCGGACTGTATTTGAAGTCTGGCATTTACTTATCTCACCATTCTCATTCCTTGAGAACGTCGTCAGCAAATGTCCATATAACAAAAAGTTTATTTCATAAGGCCAATATTTTGAAATTCTGTTAATGAGTACTTATTAGTGAAAAAAATTTTCTAGTCACCCATGGCTGGTCTATCAAAATATTTCTCAAGCGCTAAATTTCTTTAAATAAAACAGGCCGAGACAATATCACTTTTTTTATGTTATCTACGTGATTATATTGAAGTTGTCTAGTCATTATAAAACCCGTTTCCAGTCTCGAAGTTAGAAAAGGTTGGTGCACGAATACCAAACATCGAACAGTAAACTTATCAGTTCATCTGTTCTTGGTGACACAGCAGATTGTTAATGATGTTGTCGACCTGATTTTTCACTAAGCACTCATGCAATATAGTCTGTTGCAATATAAGATGATCAGTTCAATATCTGACTTGAGCGCGAGCTATCTACCTTTTGTACTGCTCGGTGCTCGCACAGCCAAAGCACGGCGGCAGGCAACGAACGCACGCTGCAGGCGGTGCTTGTCCTGCTCTTTTTTTTTTTTCTGGAAATTAGTGTCCGCGGGTACGGCCGTGGACAATGGTAACCCTCCCTGTGCATCAGCACAGTTGTTTCACCGCCGAACCTGGCCGAAATTAACGATGGACGGAATCAGACGCACATCGTGTTTGTAAAAAAAGATCGCAATTTAGGCTCGAAACCATTTTGTGGTTTGCCAAGTGGCTCAATACTATTGTTTCATTCGCTGTGTGCTACAGGAAAGAAATTTATATCGCAAAATTAATCGAAAGTGGCATGAAACAGCATTACAATCGCGTGCACGTTGAAACCGAAACCGACCAAATTGAAGCAACCTAATGGCGGCGAGTGCGCCAGCGCCCTCTACCCGCCGGTCAGGCAACTACTGAAATGAAAAGGTCTATAACTAGGGTGTGTACTTTCCGGTGTTTATTTGTGAGAAAAATCGGCGGATGTTTTTCGGTGTTTATTTATTTTCAAAACACCGGTGTATTTCGGTGGAACGTCTCACGACGAGGCTAAAATCGGTGATTATCGGTGAAAAAAAGGCGATTGATCAGAGACAGAGAGTTCCAATTTTATTCACATAGTTCATGCACTTCTTCTCTAGGAAGCAACTATTTATCACACTTGGTTATTATAGTCGATGCAAGCATACTTTCATGCTTGCATCTACACGCAAGGAACGTGCTGCCCTCATGGCAGCACATTCCTTGCGGTTTGCAACCCGCAATTATGAAAACGCACGGTCCTGTACGACACGGACGTTGGCAGTGTCTTCCAGGAACCACAGCAACCTCTGAATACATGGCTTGCACCAACATCACTTGGCCAGACACAATGAGGAAAAGGCACGTGAGAGCCTATCCTCCACTGCGTTAATTTTTCCACAAAAGGGTGCCATGGGAGACACAATAGGGGAAAGGCATTGAGAGCTTAGCTTCCACTGCGTTCACTAGACGCTTTTGACCCCCAGAAAGGAGGGCGGACTGACGCCACCTGCAAGCCATGTATAAACACTGGAAGAATGCAGGATCCACGAGATAACACGTTTGACGAACCTCTATGGTGAAAGGGTTTCGCTAGGTCGGAAACTAGCAACGACCGGTGTTTTTCGGTTTTAACCAGGGCGAAACTATCAAACCACCGGTGTTTTTCGGTTTTAACCGATTTTATATTTTAGTCACCGACGGATGCTTATCGGTGTTTTTCGGTTAAAACCGGAAAATGCACACCCTACTTATAACTTAGTAGCCTTGGATTAGTTTTTATTTTAGTATGCTCCAAATATGTTTAGGTGGCACACTACAGCATTTGTTGCTGCTGTGCCACTAAACCCCCAATCATCATCATCATCATCATCATCACTTGCTCGGGTGTCCCAGGCTAGGCAACTGCCGCGCCAAGACGTGCGAGGTGGGGCTGCGGCGACGCAAGTATCACGTGTTGAGCGGCTCTGTGCTGGCGATCTGGGCCAAGGTGGAGAGCGTGCTCAGCACATTCTCCAAGCTGCAGGTGGTGCGGTTCAAGACAGAGGACTCTCTTCGGATTGTCGGTGCGCTGCCTTCCTCATTTCTCTTTCGATTTTTGCCGTCGGCACATTGTTTCTTCTGCTGGAGGAACAGTGTCCTAGTGTATCATTTCCACTTTTACTGCTAAGTTGGGGGGATGGAAAAGCAATTCCTTTTTATGGGCTCTTGTCTGGGCTAAGTTTCAGCTGTCACCCGTTTGTATTATCTTTATTCTACTTCGGTTGAGCAGTATAGTATTAGAGGATAGCAGCAACTCTGTTTCTTGTGGTGCAAGTTCAATTGCATCAGTCAATGGATACGGCGGTTACTTCTTCCTTGGTGGTGGGTCCTGTTGTGCGTCGGGTCTATGGATTTGTATGATGGCCAATATGCGAGTGAATACCAAACGTCTCTTAGGCTCTTGGGTGGGTGATTTGACATGAACGGGGGTGCTGTGGCAATATGAGCTGGCCCAGCGGTGTTCCGGCGGGCGGGGAAAAAAAAAAGCCATGCAGGAAGCCAGGTGTGTAAATCTGTTAAAAGAGAGTTTGGACTGAACTGCCACATTTCCTGTTGTCTGAATGTGGCAGTCAGTTTCATAGCTTGACATGCCGGGGGCCTCCCGTGCAGCATTTTACCAATTTCAGCTAGCACTAGTCTGAGCCAGCTCGTACAGCCATGGCTCGTTAATACGGGCGCCTCCGTTCCCCCCAAAAGGTGTTCATATTGTGAGTCATTTGTGATAACGAGACAAAAATGCACATACCATAAAATACCGGGCAAGCGCCCACTCAAAATTTAGAAATAATCCTGAGAGAATGGGGGATGGGCGCTTGTCCGGTCATCAATTTTACATATAAATGTACTATGCATAGTTCCTCAGAGCTTACAAATTTGGGAATGGGCGCTTAACGTGGAATGGGCGGATGCGCGGTATTCTACGGTATTTATGCAGTTCGTCCCCGAAAACTTTTTCCGGGGGGTATCTACATTAATGTTGTCCGTATTAATGAGACATCGCTGTATTGCCACAGATTGTACAGTTGTACCTTAGAGTATTTTCCAAGAACGAAAATTAATGTTGGCGCTAAGGTCAGATTCATTTTGGTATGGTATGGTTGGTGATACTAACAAGTTGCAATTGTTTGCAGGCACCATTATTCCAAGAAAATGTGTTGCATCCCTGATCAACGTGCTGTCCCAGGGTGCAGAGGAGACACACCTAGAAACCTTCTCAGAACTGGGATCATGAATTAGTGCATCAGCAAGTAACGACCTACCCCAAGAGTAGCTCTTTTTTTTCCCCCCTTTTTAGAACAATGTGGCAGTAGCGCTGTAAGTGGGAGGAGAAAAAACCATATTTTTATTCAAGTGCGTGTGTAGTATGTCAAAATTACTCTTTTCATCTTTCTCACCTTGATCCCCTCTTCTCTGGTTTATGTTCCTCTTTTTTTGTATGAAAGAAACCAAGAAGGAACTTGAGCAGTGCAAGGCAAGTCGAACAAACTACAACAAAACGAGCAATGAAAGAGGATGTTCTCTGGTTTTGGTCTCTCCATCTTTCTTCATTTTGGGTTGGGGGGGTTGTGAGTGAGTCAGTGAGTCAGAGAAATTTTTCCCTGCCTTTGTGGAGTGCTGCTCCGCAAAGGCAGCACTCACAGTATTAAAGGGAGAGAGACTGCAGCTAGCTTTTTGTACATATGTATCTTTTTTCTGTCAGTTCCCTGAGAAGGAGATGCAAGCAATAAATCACAATAAATACTGATTTTAAAATTTCCTCATCTAGTAGACCTAAAAAGAAAATGACAAAAGCATCATGAAACAACGGTTGCATGCCCAATTACAGGTATGTATGTTTAGAAATCAAATTTTGGAAGGCTTGCCATATGCACTGGGTTCTAGGACCACAAGCCATACACGCCAGCTAGTTATCTCGCAGTATTTGGTTGTAGTGTTTTACGAATCCTCCCTGGTAATTGCAGTTGTCCGACATTTGAGGGAGCGCCGGTTGTTTCCTCCTAGCCTTGCCACATGTTTTGTTGGCAGCCTTTTTGTTATCCCCATCCCTCCCGCAGAGCCCTTTAAGACTAGCATTCCTCTCGTTCCCTTAACCTTCAATCACATATCACAGATGGCACTTTAGGCACATGTGATGGACAAAGCGCGCGACCGGAGATGAAACGAAGCTGGGGGCACAGCGGTGCCGAAAATTCATCCAGGGGGGGGGGGGGGGGGGGGGTACACACAACTTCTAGTGGCCTATCACTACATTTAGAAAATGCAAAGCAGACGTTTTAATCTAAGCAACACTATGGTGCCAGGAATGCGTCTTTGGCCATGCATCAAAAGTGATCCCAAAGTGGCATCAATTGACATCACAAAGCTTGGAGTGTCATGCTGTCAGATGACGCAATCCTGGCAGTTGGCCGTAGAGGTGCCGGCAAAAAGCATGTGCGAACGCAAGTGTTGCCATCGTCACGACGTCCCCACTCCTGGCTGCCTAAGTGTCCATGTACAGTCTAGCTGAAGAGCGACGGCAGAAAAGGCGTCTGCCACAACCACTGCCACTCCTGTGACGCCGTCGAGATAACGGCCGGCGACATCGTGACACTTTTACTACGATGTTGGGCAGAAATCGAGGAACTTTTTTTTTTGGATGCGGTAAACACATTAATCAGAGACGCGTTCTAGGTAGCATGGCAGCACAGACTCCAGTAGGTTGCAACCCATAGCACGCACTACCTATATGACCATGCGGATATTTCCCTCTCCTTGAATTTCTAGGCTGGTAAGACTGGCAATCTCGATAGTGTTGAATGCGCATTGCAAAAGGACCGTAGGAGCTCGCCGTCGGCACACGCTCAGCAGCCGCAGACATGGCTACGGCCGCGAGTTCTACCGTTATTGTTTGGCGAGTTCATTGCCCGACCTGCTTCTAGGGAATTGAAACGGGTGCTGTACTGGGTATTTCACCAAGGGCGATAAAATGTGTACAGATGGAAAACTGCATCTGCACACAGTAAAATGTGTGCAGTTGGAGAACTTTTACAGGGAGTTATCAATGTTTAATTTTCGTTTGAAAAGATTTTTTTTAAAATAATGGCAAGGAGTTATGAGAGTTCTATCTTTGCCATTTATTTGTCGCTCTAGACAACATTAAATGAGGGGATAATTGTCACATTAAGTTGACTAATTAACTAAAATCTTTTAATTAACCTTTTTAATTATTGGTTTTAGGGGTCGTGTTGAAAGTGACACGAGACTGTGATGAAATATTGGAAACTCTGTAGAAGAAAAAGGACACTGGACACGGAACATCTCTCAAACTCGGCTAGTGTGGATATTTTCTCAAATCTTTGTACAGTGTTTAATTTTCATTCAAAGAGATTTCTTTTTTCAAATGGGGGCACGGATCCCCACTTCGTCGCTGCAGCGTGCAGACAGAGTGCGGCCCCTGGAAGTTTAGTATCGGCCATCTTGGAGTCGCAGACTCAACAGATGCTCACTGCCGCCCTGAAGAAGATGCCAGGGGTCTGGACTGTGAACATGAAGGTATAGGACGTGTCATGTTTTCCAGTGGAATGACGAATACGTTTATTTCTTTAACTAAAGCATATTGAGACGTAATACAACCACGACTGCTCTCGAAGAAAGGACTGCAACACAGAAAACATCTCTGTGGGAAAAGGCAGAGAAATAACCAAGGCAGTTAGCTTTTTTCAAAACATTTTGCAGAAGAAAAACCTGAGGAAAAACTGGTGGCCTATTTTTATGAAGCATATATAACAACCTTTGCACTACTCCTTCCAAAGCCTCGCTTCTTGTATTGAAATGCCCAAAGAGTTTAAAGGGAATGTTCGGGGATACATGGCATCAAAGAGCTGGCTTTCATCTTTTCCAAGCTACTGCAGTGGCTGCCTTGAAGCATCCTGCAGACACACTCGAACAAAGGACTGCGAGACAGAAAACTGATTTTTGTGGGAAGATAAAAGCAGAAAACTAACCAAGCAGTTCGCTTTTCTAAAGCATTTAGAAGCAAAAGATTGTGAAAAAAAGCTTTGGTATTTTTTTGCAGCTTATAACAAGCTTTGTGCTGCTTCTGTCAAAGCACTGCTACTTGGATGCATCAAAATGCTCAAACCTGATGTTTCGGGACATATGACACCAAGCTGGCTTTCACGTTTCGAAGTCGGTGCAGTGGCTGCTGTAAAGGGGCACTGAAACCCCAAAGGTTGTATGTTTTTTTACAGTGAAGCTGTTATGTGCTAGGATCTGGGAAAAAATGCGTCCATGGGTTTTGACAAAAAACTCTCGTTTAAACGACACTCCCTCATTCCAATTAGTTGTGGCAAGTATAAAAAAAAAAGGGGGCAACCCACGTGAGTGAGCCTTCCTTGGCATTATTAGATGGTGATGTCCTGATCCCTTGTTATCATCTACGGTCACTGACTTCTCTCAGCTAAGAGTGCGCTGTGACAAGGCTGAAGGCAGAATGTGCCGATCTAACCTTTTGCTTCCGCGATGCTGATAAAGAGGCTGGGCTCAATTGGAAACAACGAAGTCGTGCAAGTGTTCATTGAAGGCATATGTAAATTTTATAGATATATAGTTGTAAAGATAACAGCTCAGCTGGTCCTCCATCCTCACATGAAGTGCATAGTTATGTCCAACAGGAGAGGAGGACCACAAAACTGCCGAGCGACAAAGAAATGATGCGAGGGGATCTTAGCTGCTTTGTTCGTAATGATGACAAAAGGTGGCATTATGGAAATGGAATTAAGATCAGGAAAGTCGCCTTGCTTCATAGGGAGTGCTCAGATGAAGTGGTCGTAAATATCAAGTTGGTCGTGCGTCAGAGCAGTCAAAGCCGCAGTGGCCAAAGCCTACATGACATGGGCAGCCTGGACCTAGCTGACAGATGTTTGTCTGACTACAGTATTAGGATACGCACGAAACGGTGAACAGTGAGGGCTTTCGCTCACTTTCTGTACCTGGCAGAGTAAGCGCAAATTTGAATTACTTACCTACGTTTAAATTCATATTAAGCAGCAAGGATATCCTGGTGGCTCGCAGTTCTAACTCTGTAATTTCCCACAGAAGTCGAATGCTACTAAGTCTGTGGACCTTTTTCTGTGATTCGTATGAAGCACGGCTAAATGGCAACGAATTCGGTGATCAGTCTTGTGCGACATAAGGACATGGGATGTCCCGGTAGTGTTTAGGTGTAACGTCATGAAGCATACTCAAAGTTCAGACACTGCTGTGTGAATCTAGGTGTGCCAGCCGAGAAACGGATGGAACAGGCAAGTGCTCCCAAGCAAGACGTAGGATGTTTGTGGATCACTGGCTGATTTCTTCTTTCCTGGCACTACGTACTGCATGGGCATTGCAGGATTAGTTTGTTGTAATTTATAATTGTTTATAAGATCATAAAGTGCATAAATCCCCATAGACCAATTTTAAAAAAATTGACTACAAGGCTCTCATTAGTTGATAACTTCATATGTTGAAGTAGTAAAAATACCTTTGGCATGGTACTAAAAAAAAAAAAAAAAAGCGTCCCATTTTGTCGATGAAATGCTCATTGACACTTTACGTCCAGCGAGGTTCTGTTAAGCGGCGTTTTGTCAAAAAAACAATCTCGCAGCGCCGTCCATATGCCACGTGCACGATGTCTATGTTCACCCAAAGCCGCCTATTTTGGACCACGTGCAAAACAAAAAACCGCTGCACAGCAACACCAAAAGTACGGAGTAAAATCCCATATGCAAGAACACATGTTGATACATGGAACGGGCCTTGGAGACTCGGCCTGGTGTGTTTACCGCGTCCAAAAGATGTTTGTCCTGTCCGTCCTTTTTTTCTAACATTTTTTTTAAAATCTATCACCAACGCGCTTAATTCCAAAAAAAAAAAAAAAAGTCCCTCAATTTTTGCTTGATGACGTCATGGAAGTGTCATGCTGTCGCCAGTCGCGATCCTGGCGGCATCCCAATAGCTGTGGTCTATGTGGCAGACGTCTGTTCTGCTGCAGGTCGCTCTCCAGTGTGGCAGCCCACGGAAACTAGGCAGCCAGAAGTTCCGACGCTCTGACGACAGCGACACTCGCGTTCGGTGGTGCTACTCGCAGCTTTCTTTAGCATTTCTACGACCAACCGCCAGGATCGCGACATGCGTCATTTGGGCATTTGGGCAATGGACCTTTTCCACATACCGACGGCACCAGGCGGTGGCTGCACGAACTAAAAATGGAGGAAGTGACCTACCTGCGCTACCAATCGATAATGGGAGCTACGCTACCAGTTTCTTCGCACTCCGAGCAGCGGCGCCTGCCCAACGCGACTTGAAAGAGGGGCATCCGTGGCGTCCACCCAAACGTCGTGTTTTCCTTTCCGTCGACGTTCTTTTTTTGTGTAACACAATTATATATATGCTGCAGTTACGTGTTCTACTCGCTGATATACAGCCTCCTTCCGAATTTCCTCTATGTTTCGTTCCGACTTCCGCCGCTTGGCATCGGGCGCTCGCGCGTGCGCAGAACGC